TATCTTAGCATCCACAGAAACGTTTTGTTCTGATATGAAATGTTGTGTTATAAATACAATAATATATTATTGTTAAAATGGAGAGTGTAGTTGTTATTTTATGATTTGATAATATTTTTCTTTTCAATATATTGTGATAGCCTGAGAAGGAAAGTCTAGAAGTGATAAACTATTTTTTGGTAAAATAATAATGATATATAGTTGATATTGAAATTTTAGTTATATTAGAAAATAGAGTAAAATTTAGTTGAAATATGGAATTGTTGAACTTTTTGTTGTCAAAATAATAATAATATATTGTTGATATTAGAACTGCAATTATAGACTCAAAAATAGGACAGATGTTCCCTGATGCAGTAGCTTTCAGAAAAGCATTGCACAAATATAGCCTCGCTAACAAGTTTGGGTATAAATTCCAGAAGAATCATAAGGACAAAGTCATCGCGAAGTGTGTGGCTAAGGGGTGCAACTTTATATACAAATAACCCATTATAATATTTTTTTAATAGATTATTGTCTTTTATTTATGTTTGTGCAGCAATATGATGTAAATGGAAGAAAAATTTCATTAGGGTACTTGTTTCTACCATGACAAGTACCATTATAAAATTAGGTGGGATTGATGTTGTCTATATACTAATATTAACTTGTTCTCAATATAATGAAAGTTGTTCACCAAAATGGATGTTATATCATATTATAAAGTATGATGATGCTGTCTGTATCAATGTTAGTTATGTATCAGTGAATGTAGACTTGTCATTTATATAATAGTTTTTTTTTTTCAAAATGGTGAGTTGTTCACCAACTTTGAACACCTAGACATTTTCCTAAGTTAGGAATTCTTGCACATAGTATTATTTCTTATAAAAATGGAATGGGGAGTTGTTTTTGTCGAATGGTGAGTTATTCACCAACTTTGAACACTTGAAAATTTTTTGGAGTTATAAATTCTAGCACATGAAATTATTTCTTGTAAAAATAAATGGGGATTTTTTTTTGGTGAATGGTAAGTTGCACACCAACTTTGAACATCTAAAAATTTTCTTAAATCAATAATTATGGCACATGAAATTATTTCTTATTAAAATGGAATGGGGAGTTGTTTTTTCAAAATGGCAAGTTGTTCACCAGCTTTGAACACCTAGACATTTTCTTAAATTAGAATTCTAGCACATGGAATTATTTCTTGTTAAAATTCAATGAGGAGTTGTTTTTTGTCTAATGGTGAATAGTTCACCAGCTTTGAATACTTGGAAATTTCTCGAGTCAAAAATTCTTGTTGGCGGCACCGGCGGTAGATGCGAACAGCAAACTTCAAATAGCTTGAGTTGTGCCCGGAAGGACACTGTCCTGAAAAACTATTTCGGCACACCTAGATGATGGACCAGCAATTCCCCAGGATTAAACAAGCACTTCCTGCGATAGAGTAAGGGAACAGAATAACAGAGACTAAAAGTAAACGCAGATGAATGGACGAACAGAAGATAGAGGGAGGAGAGAATTGCCCCGAAAACTGAAGAGGCTGGCACACTGTTCTGTCCGCACCAATGGCTATATATAGCCCGAGGAAGGAGACATGAACGTTGGCTCATAATCACCGGATTAAAGCTTTGGTTACATTCTCATAAATCACGTTTAAGGACTTGTCTGGGAGTTATGCAGACGTAAATCTCAGTTAATCTTCTGTCTGAAATGTTGGCAGACAAAACATTTAAAATATTAACTTCACAAAATCAATTTTCAGAAGAGGTTTAATGCTGAAAAACTGCCAAAGCTTCAAGTTCAAATTTGAAACAGTAAAATCAGAGGTTTTCGGATAAGCTAAAAATAATTATTTATTTAATTATTTTTGTAAAAATAATTATTTATTTTGGGTAAGCTAAAAATAACCCGGTAAAAGGAACTTATTGCCTCTGCGATTGCCCTGAGTTGACCTGTCTCATATGCACGAGGCCACTTCTCCTCTAAACCCATTTTACTAGCCCATTTCATTCCTTAATATATATACACTAGGAGAGTCTTTCTTTTAGTCAATGTGGGACTTTGACACACACACATTTTTTTGACACACATACAACAATTTTGGCACATGAAATTATTTCTTTTTAAAATAGAATGGGGAGTTATTTTTTTATGAATGATAAGTTGTGTACTAGCTTTGAACATCTGGACATTTTCTTAAATCATAACTCTGATACGTGAAATTATTTCTTATTAAAATGGAATAGGGAATTGTTTTGCTAAAAAAAATGGAATAGGGAATTTTTTTTTTTTCAAATGGTGAGTTGTCCACTAGCTTTGAATACTTGGACATTTTCTTAAATTAGTAATTCTGGCACATGAAATTATTTCTTGTTAAAATGGAACGGTGAGTTATTTTTGTCGAATGGTAAGTTATTCACCAACTTTAAACATGTAGAAATTTTCTCAAGTCAGGAATTTTGACACATGAAATTATTTTTTGTTAAAATGGAATGGAGAGTTGTTTTTTTTTCTAATGGTGAGTTCTATGCTTCATTTCCTTTCTATTAGATGGGTATTTTTGTATTTTTTTAGTTAAAATTAATTATAGTTAGAACCTCTAAGGCTGCAGTATAAATTCATAATTAATTGGTCCTCCACTATGAATCTGTTTCTCCAATGATCCTTAACCGTGATTTTCCCTTAAAAAAGAATAGTATATAAGGCTTATTTGGCAATCTAGCTTTTCATATTTAGGAAGCCACTTTGCATTTTTATGATGCTCAAAGTTGTATGGGTAGCAATTGTTACCCAGATTGACTTTGTTGAAAGCAAGGTACTGAAAAACAGATTAGTCATTGAACCAATTGAGGTAATGGTCCAACCACAGGTCAACCTGAATTCAAATCGATCACGATTAAAATAATATAATTTGATTAAATATATAAAAATATTCATATGAAAGACTACAATATTTAAATAACAGTCATTAATTCTTGAGTAAATAAAAATTTATCCATAAAATCTTACGCATGTCTTATAGAAATAATAATTATGAGTTTCTGACAATAATAAAACATAATATCATTAAAATTATTCATTAAGAAATTTATATTTGATTTAAAGTTCAATGTTCAAAAGGAGAAAGGAAGAAATAGAGAAAAATAAAAATAAAAATACCAACTTAAGTCAACCTATTAACCCATCGAGTCGCCAAGGATTGTTCAGATTGAGGTCAGCTTGACAAGGTTGACACCGAATCATAGATGATTAGTTTTCCTCAATCAATCAAACTAGCTAAGTAATTGGTTCATTGGTTTGTGGGTCAACCTAACAAGTTAGTCCGAGTTTACAAAAAATGATTGAAAGCACATTCAAATGAGATTTAAAAATGAATCGAGCAAACGTTGACATCTGAAACTATTGAGATTGACATTTGGCCAATGTCTGACTGGCACAAGCACAATGCCTCCTATGCTCATGGAAATCAATATTTTTTTAATAATTATAGATCATGAATAAAACCATTTTATAAATGTAAACCATTGTTATGTAATGCTTATTCTTGGATTTTGTTTTAGTTATTGCAAATAAAAAAGTTATTAAAAACCATCCATCTTTTAAATCATGGATTGTTTTGTCCATTTTACATATTAACGTTTATTTATTTTTATTAGCATCAAGTTTTGAACTATTCAATGTTATAAATAACTATCATCCTTTTTGTATCTGAGCTCGTGGTTATCTTTTAATGAAACTTTTTGCAGGAATTGATTTTCCTCCTATACATAGAAGATAAAGGAGGAATTTAAATTTAATAATTTTAAAAAATATAAATTTAATTTGAATAACTTAGATTTATAGTGGAGAGATAATAAAGAAAAAATATAATGAAGATAAACTCACTTGCTTTTGGCCATACGACACTAACAAACTAAATTCATGATTTTTTGTTCAGGAGGAGAAGTAAATAATTACATACTGATAAGCAAATTTTATTTCTTTTTAGCTTCAATACAAGACAAAATTCGAGTACTAAATTAGTAAATTTTCTTTTATAAATTTATCCCTAATTTATTTATTATGATTTGAATTTTTATAGAACAATTTATTATGGGTATTAATTTTAAAGAAGGATAAAATTAAAAAAATTACATATTTTTCAACAATTTTTAGAATATAATTATCATTTCATTATCATTTCTTAATATGCATCTGATTAAATTTGTTTTATATTAACGACATGAACAGTAACTTGTAAGCTTCAGTTCAATCATATCTCTAAGGCCTCGTTTGATATGATAGAAGAGTTTTTGATATAATTAGAATCGGAATTGAAATCGAAATCGAAATCGGAATTGGAATTGAAATCAGAATTGGAATCGAAATTGAATTGAGTTTTAAAAGTGTGTTTGGTATAAAGATGAATCATAATATAATTTTAATAAGTATATGTATTTAAAATATAAAAAATTAAAATACCCTTTATTTTATTTTTTAATGAAAAACTTAACAATAAAAAAATAAAGAATGTACTTTTAAAGCTAAAAATATCTTTTATTTTATTTTTTAATGACAATAAGCCAATTTCATGTTGAATTAGTGGATTTTATGGTCTCTACAATGGAATTGGATTTCATCAATTTAATGGAATCAGATTTCTTCAAGAAAGCAATTCTGATATATCAAACAAGCCATCAACTGAAGAATTCATGTCCAATTTCATTTTATTTTCATTTGTATCAAACATGACCTAAGGTTATTGGTTAGGAACTTCACACGAATCAAACCTCGTAAAATTAATTAACAAAATATGTTCTTATTATTTTCTTCTCAACGGGGGCAAAAAAAAATCTCATCTTCACTTTTGATTTTTTGGTAAAAAATATTCCGCTCAATTTTTTTTTATCAAATTACTATTTTTTTCTCTGGTTAATTCATTGGTCAAGCTAAATTGATCCTGTCTATACATGGAGCTAATCTGCCTACCAAATTTCGAATCAAAAGCGCGAATCTTGCATTGCATCTTCCTCATAACAACACAAACGGCTTTTTGCCTTCGTTTTCCTTCTCTCTGTATATCTGCTTCCGCTGAACTTAAACCCTATTCTGGGTTCCTATCCTTTTCGATCCCAAACGGAATTTGATCAAATTCGGGTGGAATTTATCTCGTTTCCTTGACTTTTCCATTTTAAATGGAAAGAGATGGGAATTATGTTATTGCAGGCGATAAATGTCAACCTGATGCTCTGCTAGATGGTGAATCAGCTATCTCGAGCTGCAATGTATTCTTAGATCATGTTGGGGAAGTCACCCTCGCTTTTAATTCAGACGGGTTATCTTGGGAAGCGGTTGAACCGTTGGTTAATGTAAGTGCTGTTTGATTACTTTAAAATAGTAGTTATGTTCAATTGGTTGTGGTATTGGCCTTTGGAAATTGACCTGATCAAATATTTATTAAAATTTTCTACATTGCAATAATATGACTAAATTTTGAAACATGAATTTTATATGTTATGATAAGATATGATTTAGTTTAGTCATCTATCACCTGTGCTTTAATTGATGTTTACATGTATTTTTATCATTGCTTTACTTATGGACGACGATGCCTTCTCAACTTTGATACAATTGTGGTGAAGACTTCTAAAGGTTTGAGTGAGTCTTACTGGGCTTGTTTTGTTTTCATCTAACAAGACCTGCTTTACCAATCACAAATATTTAAATTAAGAAGGCTTGTTGTATGGTCATGGATTATAATTGAGATAGTTCTCGTTCTCAAAGCTGTTAATTACCAATGAACAGGTAATCCATGTTTCATCTTCTAATACTTATCCTAGACTTTCAATTGAACAGGAGAGTTCAACCTGTTTGGGGATAAAATACATTTCTAATGCTGCTACGGCAATCAAACTTTGTGACATATATGCTGCTGAGTTTACTGGTTATGGTCTGGTGCATTTATCACGTATCTCTCGTGCCATGAAACATCTTCTTATTGGGCATGATGCCAAGGTTTGTCATTGTTCTTGTTTATTTGTTTATATTCTTTCAGGGGCAAATCAAATAAGGTGAATGGTATTTCTTGCAAAGTTGCAGATGTATCGTTTTACGGTGTATGGTGTCCTAAGGAATGAGATTCAGCCTTCTCTATTGGTCCCTGTTAAATATACTTTTGGCCATAATAATATGCAAACATGTCAGATGTGGGTAAATCGGCTTGATTCTTCCTTGAACCTCAAAGTTGAAAGGCCAAAGAATCTCATGGTATGTTCTGGTACTGGTCAACACTAGGCTTTATACTTTCTTTTAACTTCCATTGATTAGTTGAAATGAACATTTCCCAGAGATGATTTCTGATTCACTAGGTTTTTGTTCATCCAAGGAGTGGGAAAGGACTTGGCTGCAGAACCTGGGAAGCTGTGGCTCCTATATTCTCTCGTGCTAAAGTGAAAACAAAGGTGAATATTTTTTTTTAGCATATTTAGTGATTTTCTGAATGGTCTACTCTTCTAAACATCAAATATTTGTAATTTAACATCTGATATGCTATTATACCTTATTTAAGAAGCTCACACTGAGACATGTAATAGCTTTTCCCGACCGTTACCTTTGTACTTGTTCAGTGGTTGAAATTGAGATAGCATTCTGTTCCAATTCGTATAAAGTTTAAAGCCCTTCCATCCACTTTCTATGTTTACTATGGAAAAAATGATGAAAATCATGCCTGATCCTCTGTTAAATTTTGCAATGATAACATGCTGGTTGCTTTCATTTTACCTTCAAGTTTGTTGTGTCAAAAGGTGGATCAAACTTAATTTTTATAATAATTAAATAAATCTGTGCATGATACCACGCAGGGGCATTCAATTGTAACTATGAACATGTGTCTGAATTCAATAATTCTGATTATACCAGTAACAAGGGTTATTTTCCCTAAAATTACTGTTGATATAGACAATCTCAATTGAACTCTACTTGAAATAATTCTATTTGAACTAAAACAGACTACTGGAATCCTATCAAAATACTAATAGATGATATCCCTATTCCTTAGACCCAAAAAAACACCTTGATGAAAGTTGAAGTCACTAATAAGCCTATAATTTAACCGGAATTCTCAACTATGAAATACAAACCATAAATTACATTTATATCATAAATTCTACCCCCTCAGTCCCTTTTTATAAAAGCCAGTTTTGAGATACCAAGGAAGTAGGTAAAGTTAGTTGATGTCTTAAAAATTTTAGTTTCTTTCCAATTCTGCCCTCCATTAAATGTCATAATTTTGCACAACTCCAAATGCCTTTTTCAAATTCATCATTTATTAGGAGTATATCTGGAAACATTTTCTAATTCTTCCTAGAACTGTGAAAAAGCTCATAACAAAAGGGACACTGTACCCCTGAAAACTGGCTCTTATTAAAAGGGACCAGGGGAGTAATATTAATGAATGGTTTTTCCCTCGTACCATTACAAGTGCTTACTGATATATATATATATATATATATGTTACATGTTTATATTCTTGTTCTTGAACTTGACTAGACTTGGGCTTTACTTCTGTATTTAATGAGCTGAGCTTGAGTGATGATTTATAATTTGACTTGCGTTAAACTTTCATTGGCTGATATATGGAAGTATGCGTGAGTTCTGAATCCATTCCCATCTCAACGAAGTTTATGTTAGATTTGATACTTTAGAGAGCTATGATGACATAATGACATTTCAGTATTTGATTTGCAAATGGGAACAGCTATATATTTTAGCTGCTAATATCTAATGTAATTTTGTTTTGATCAATTTCTTAGTAATCCATTTTCCTTCCTTTCACTAGGTAGTTGTAACGGAGAGACCTGGACAAGCCTTTGATGTGATGTCCTCTATAACAAACAGGGAGCTCAACTCTTATGATGGTGTCGTAGCTGTTGTAAGAACATACGTATCTTTGATGCATTCTTAATATTATGAACATTTACCATAGTGCTACTTAACTGATAAAGTTATAGAAGCATGTCTGGTGATAGTAGAATGAAATGCTTCCCCTCGAGCACAGTGAGCAGTGTGCCTGCTTAGTTTCATGACATTACATGTTGTTAGTTGCTCCATGCTACTAAATGATCTCTTTAGCTAACTTCTTTGTTAGCCTCCCTTCCTTCTCTCAATAACAAAGAATCTAAAGAAGATACATAAAATGTGAAGGAGGAAATACCTTTTTCCTTTTCTTGGGTTTATCAATCATTTGAAACCTCATCATGCATTATCATACTTTTTCTAGTCTTCGGACCATCAAAATGATGCAGCATCTCAGAATGTCTAAAAACTATTCATGTGAAACTTTGCACCATGCTAACAACTTTTCATCCACATTAATGTTATGAGTTCAATAACTGCTATTCAATGGTCATGTAAATTTTGCATCCCTTTTTAACTCATGGGTACTTAAATAAGATGGGAAAGTTTATCGTACTGCTATTGTCAGGAGATCAAATTATACCTCAAGTGGAAAAGTTTAGATATTTGGGAGCCATTATTAAAATGATGGCGAAATCAATAGGGATATTTCACATAGAATTTAAGCTAGGTGGTTTAATTGAAGAAAAGCTAAATGAGTTTTTTGTGATCGTAAAGTGCCTAATAAACTTAAAGGAAAGTTTTATCGTATTGCTATCAGACCGGCTATGTTATATAGTAGTGAATGCTAGGCTCTAACGACAAACAAGAACATAAAGTTGGAGTAGCAGAGATGAGAATGTTATGACGGATGTGCAGACATACACGTAAAGATAAAATTCAAAATGAGCACATTTGCGAAAAAGTGAGGGTAGCACTTATTGAGGAAAAAATGATAGAAAATCGTTTGAGATAGTTTGGGCATGTACAAAGAAGACCGCGGGAGGTATCAGTGAGAAGAGTGGAACATATAACTTTGAGCGCTGTTAAATGGGGTAGAGGAAGGCTTAAGAGAACACTCTTAGAAGTTGTTGAACGTGATCTTTTAATTAATAATATCTCTAAAAGCTTGACAAATAATAGAGCACAATAACGTCTTGCAATCTAAGTAACCAACCCCACCTAGTGGGATAAAGGCTTGTTGTTGTTGTCGTTGTTGTACCTAAATGGGATGGGAAACCCTCCCCCAAAATTAAGAATGGAGAACCTGTCCACTTAAATACCCCATTGAACATTTCATATTACTCTATGTGACTTAGGTATTCCATACTTACATAGGTCTCCATTAACCAAGGAAAAAATTATCTTGGAATTGAACCTTGTGGGATTTGACTTGGGAATTCATCATCATATTCACTTCCAATCTTGAACCATGTTTTCACTACGCAAATTAAGCCATACTTGTAGTAGAGAGAGGCTCTTACCAAATCATGTTTGAAATTCATGCACTTATGTTTGCATTCTTCAAAATGAGGCTGACTGTTGGTGAAAGTTCAAGCCTTGGCAATTTAAATGGATTCATTTACTTGATTTTCTGATTTGCTTTCTGTTTGTGAGTGATTTTCTTTATTATATGCCAATTACTTGCTCTTTTCTAATTGAGGTGGTTCCAGGGTGGTGATGGATTTTCAATGAAATCCTTAATGGGTTTCTTTCTACCAGGCTAAAAGCTCCGATCCCACCTGCTCCATCGGATTTGGTTCATTTGGTTAAAGATGGTCATAGTTCCTTGGTTCATGATGGAAATGAAGCAGTTGAGGAGAATCCCAATCAAAATGAAGAACATCCTCTTATTTCAAGTCCAAAACAAATTGGATCCAGAATTGCAAATTCCAGTGAGTAGTTTGCCTATACTTGCTTGCCTATCACTCTACAACTCCTTCCTGGTTGTAATTGTTGGATTGCTTTCTGATAAATATTTTTTCTTGGTTAGTGGTTGTCTTTGAATTTATGGTAACTGAAAATGACTTTGTAAACATGCTAATATTTCCATACTTTACAAAGTAATGTTATGTTAGTCTTCCATTCCCCATCTTTTCTGTTTTCTATTTTATGTTTTATTATCATAGACTCACACCGTCACAAAGAAAAAAGAAAAGGGAACGAGAGCAGAAGGAAACTTATGGGGATAATTTTTTGGCTTTTGAAGATTCAGCAGATCAAGATCCTGAGTTTCAAATCCTCAGTGAACGTTTTAGATTGGAATCATCCCTGCAGGTTCAACTGATGCCATTGTAATGTGGTATGATTTTCTCCCCTCTAATAATATGTTTGCCTTTCCATTGACTTAAGCTTCATATCTATAAACTCAACAAAAGATCTATATTTGTGAAATTGTATCAGGTTTTATTTTGCAAGGATTAAAATTATTTCCCTTCCTGGAATAGGCTCATGATGTAAGGCTTGCTTTATGCTTCATGAGTGTCATGTTAAGATGAACAAGCCTCCATAGTATTATGTTCTGTGACTGTATGAGACATATGAATCAGCTTTGTTGCTAGTTGACTTGAGGGATGTGATGTTCAGATCATCATGGTCTGTATCTATACCACTTTTTTGTTGCTAATTGTTGAGAATACCAAGTATTTATTCTCCATGTGGTTCATTTGTGGTACACAGATTGCATAGTTGCAGGTTAAATGCTTGCGATTATTTGATGATCTGTCTATAAAGTTGCTTACAACACGCCTCCTGACAAAACAATTTTGCTACAAATGTCTCGTCTTGTTTTCTAATACACTTTGTGAGTTATCTGAATACAACTCTCTCGTTTGTATCTTTTCTAGTACAACTGGATGTCGAGATCCTATAACATCAGCACTGCATATTGTTCTTGGCAAAAAGGTGCACCTTGACATAGCGCAAGTTGTAAGGTGGAAAGAAACACCTAAATCTGCAGTCGAACCTTGTGTGCGCTATGCAGCTTCATTTGCTGGGTAATGTCTCTATTAGTGTTTTCTGATAACGTTGACAAAAGAATTCAGTTCAAACTGTAGTTCGTGACTCAGAATAATGCATTTAAACATTGTTTTTTCTAAGTGTCTTCTTTTGGCTTTTTTTAAGTGTCTTCTTTTGGCTTACTTTCTGGAATTTTATTGATTATATAGATTTTTCTTCTTTGCTGGCAAAAAAAAAATGATTTCCTTTTTCCTTTTTTCAATTTTCGATGCTTTTCTTCTTTTAGAAAACAATTATTTGTATCAGGAAGCTTGTTCTCTCTTTCTCTTCCCCCTCCTTCCTCTTTTGGATCAGAAAAATGCCTGGTACATGCATGGAAAATTAACATGTTCAAATACCTTGATGTAAATGCAAATAGTTGTTCTATGGCAATGGAGGAAACTAACTGATGCTAGCTTTTTTGAAAACTTTTTAGCTATGTGGATTGCTAATCTCAGATTCCCGTAAACCTTTAAACAGAAAGGTTGAAAATAAAGAGTAAATTTCTGAAATTATCATAAAGGCATTGCTACTAGCCCTTGCCTTGAATTTAGTTCACTTTAATAACACCCTTGAAAACAATGAAAATTTTGTTCATGTGTCTTCAGTTGTGCATTTCAGTACCCGTTACCATACTACAAGTTAAGACGCTTTCAGTTTTGTGAATGAAAGATTTTATGTGGCCGTTGTTGTTTTGAGCATGTTACTTTGAAGCATATTTTTTTTAATTGGGAGATATTCTTGTGTGGCCTATCCAAAACCTTACTTTAGTTCCGACATGTTGATTCATATTCTTGCATCCACTGCATTTTGATCCTTAATTTTTTAAAATGCTTTTTTCAATAAGCTCTTATTCTTTCTGATGACCTTAGGTATGGATTCTATGGTGATGTCATCACAGAGAGTGAGAAATATCGCTGGATGGGACCCAAACGCTATGATTATGCAGGGACAATGGTGTTCTTAAGGCACAGGTGAACTGAGCGCCATTTGTTGAATTTTTTTCCCCTTCTTTTCATCTCAATTCATCCTTTACGTGATGGACATTGCTATATGTGCGGTCTCACGCCTCACGGTCTGGGGCTGGTCTCTTTCCTACTTTATGGGAAGTTTAGCATATCTGACAAACCCTGGCAAAATATGCGCTTAACTAGTTAGTTCATGAAGAATATTTTACTGAACCTCCAGTGGGTTGTCAGGAGCTTTTGTCAGCTGAGACCCATTTTAATAGATCACATTTTGTACTACAGGTCATTAACTATTGATCAATGGAATCCAATCCCTCCCCCTTTTTTCTGTGATCAATTTAATGGAATCCCTTTTGGGAAATTGAAGAACTATCAATTTTCATTGGTAACTGAGAGAGAGAGTAAATGAAAAATTACTTGAGTAGCCTGCGGGGTGAAATTCTTTGAATTAAACCCTTTTTTCTTTTGCTGATGAAGCTGCCAGCTTGATGCAGTACTTATAATAGCTTCAAAACGTGCATTAGACTCTCTAACCTTCAAGAGTTTTCCAGTGCTAAGCTCAGTTGACAAATGTATTTGTTTGATCTATTTTGTTATCTTGCTACTCATGCTGAAGCTAGTGCCTCTCCAGATAATTATTTTCATTGTTTTTCTCATTGTGTATTGTCATACAGGTCATATGAGGCTGAGATAGGTTATCTAGAAGTTGATTCAGATAGATCCGATCCGACTTTCAAGGGCAACAATCAAGGTAGTAGGGTACAAGATAAAAGAAGTCCATATAGACCAGAAAGATGTATCTGCCGTGTCAATTGTAAAGTTTGTATGCCAAGTCACATGGCTTCAGGAATCTCTGGCCCAACCCCTTATTTGAGTACAGATAATGCCAAATGGAATAGATGCAGAGGACGTTTTCTCAGTGTCGGAGCCGCTGTAATCTCTTGCAGAAACGAAAAAGCACCTGACGGTTTGGTGGTTGATGCACACCTTTCAGATGGTTTCCTTCATCTTATATTAATTAAAGACTGCCCTCACGCCTATTATCTTTGGTACACACTGCCTCCTTTTCTTTTCAAGTTATCAAAGCCTGTAAGTTGATAAAATAGTTGGCACATGGAACTATTATTTGGAAACTGACTCTTGAAAACAGTGTTTTTCATTGTTGCTTTATGGCTTCTCGTTGAAGTCTCTTCAAAATCTCGTTTATCCAAATTCTTCTGACATGATGGATTGTTTTTCATGTGGATTTTTTTGGAGGGTAATTTACTATCCGGAGTGACATGGCAATGCGATATCATATTTGACCAGTGGTTTAGATTGGTTTGAATTGAGAATCTATTACATGCAGTAAAATGCCTATTAGATTAAGGTGCCTTGTAATGTGATAGTTTCTTGCTTCTCAAATTACTTTAAACATATTGATAAGTTGAGGATAAATACAGCAAAAAAAAAAAAAAAATCAAACACTATATTCTTCTGTGGTTTTCCCCATTATCCTAATTAGTTTCCTGTTATTTCTTAGACACATTCTGTTTTTGTGTTCATACTTCTGATTATCTCTTCTGTGACCTTTTGTTTTAAAAATCATGCATGCAGATATCTTAAGCTTTTTTTTTTTTTTGGTATTATTACAAAATATATATATATGTATATGTATATGTATGTGTGTATGTATGTATATATGGGTATAGAATCTGCAACCTTATCCTAAGAGTGCTTGGAAAGGGTCTGTTTTATTTTTATTTTTATTTTTTAAATTTCTTTTCTTGGTTATTAAATAACTTGCACGTATAGTAATGAACGTTTCCTTTGCATGACAATCGATGAATCCAGGCACCTGACTGAACTTACACGAAGAGGTGGAAATCCCTTTAATTTTAAGTTTATAGAGCATCATAAGGTTAGTTTTCTCCTCTTCTCCATTTACTCAATCTCTCATATCATGAACGACTTCCTAAATTGGTTTAGCATCCTCAGACCCCAGCATTTACTTTTACGTCCTTGGGCAATGAGAGCGTATGGAACGTGGACGGTGAGCGCTTTCTGGCACACCAACTCTCGGCGCAAGTGCTCCGTGGCCTTGTTTCCTTGTTTGCAACTGGTCCTGAAGTCTAGTGTCTGAAATAGCTTTTTGCTTGAACTTGGTTTTGGCTAAGGAAGCCATGAATCCATGATGAATTTATTGTATCTTTTGTAATTTGTAGTGTAAAAACTTGCTCTGTATATTTAAAATCATGTTTAGGACCTGTAACTGTAAGCATGAAGGGAAAAGTTTTTAGCACATGAGTATTTTTCCAGTGAACTCTTCAAGATTCTATCTATATTTATGCTTGGAATCCTGAGACTGAATAGATCCAGGTGTTGAGTGCAGAACTTATTGGCATTGTTAATGAGAGGTTGAGGTCTTGCATTTTGATGTAGGCATTTTAGTGAATCAGTACATGTTTTTACTTTTCAGTGGCTATTGTATCATTATTGAATAAATGTTAATTTGAATGAAGTTTACGTGTTATTTTATTTTTCCTTTTTCTTAGGTTGTGACTTATCATGCACTGATTAATAGCTTGAAAGATGCAGAAAGGTCTTTAATACAAAATAGGGATATAGAGAGGGACTGCCCTTTATATTATATTATCAAAATAGGGTTAGGAAAATTAATATGACTCAACTCATACTAATTGGCGGTTAAAATAATTTATTTAATTAAAATATAATGTAAAAATTCGTAATAATATAATTTTTTCCCTCTAGAGTAACGTTTAGTATGAGTCAATTTATTACAGTCACGGTATTTCTACTTTACTCTTACGTTTATATTATAAATTCAATTGCGTCTATAATTGAACTACTATTCAGGTGCATACAAATGAAATATGTATTAATTTTTATTAATGCATTTTTCTGCATTTAATAAAAAAATGACTTGATAGCTATATTTTAAATAGCAGTAATTTAACGATATTATGACCATTCATGAAATTGACTAAGTCAGGCCACCGTAATAATCAAATAATAAATAATGTGAATTATTTTCATTTTTTAATCCATTTTCTCATGAGCTATAAATCGCTATTTAAAAAAAATATAATAAAATACCCTCAAAATATAAAAATGACAATTAAGTATCAAGAAATGTAATAATTATTATTTAATTCCTTCGGACTTATTTGACATTTTAATTTCCTGTGAAATGACAATTATGCCACGAAAATGGAGAAACTCGTAAGCTCCAGCATCAAGCTCATGCTTCTTGTCATTGCTGGTGCTATTTTGAGTCTGAGCATGGTGCTAGTTGTCCCAACAATTTGAGCTTTGATATTTTGACATTGATTATGGGTTTCCAGATTCGGATTTTATTTTGATTGAATAATCGATTAAATCTGGGAAGATGATGAAGATCGATGCCAAGGTTTGCAGGTTTTTTCGGCTTTCCTGGGTTTTTAATTTGGGAGAATGACAGAGAGGCTCTAAAAAGATCAATTAATTCAACTTAAGTCCCAAGTATTAAAATCTAAGAATTTGGGAGTTTGATTATTAATTTTACAATTTCATTGTGATGAATTTGTAATTTATGTTTCAAATTAAAAAAAAATAAATTTATTTATTCTTCAATCATGTTGAAATTTAAAAAACAAGTTGCAAATTCATTACAATGAAATTATAAAATTAAAAGATGAACTTGTAAATTCTTAGAGTTTGATATTTGAGATTTATGTTGAATTAATTAATTCTTTTGAGTCCTCTTTATCATTTTTCCCTTTTAATTTTGACAGCTGAGGGCATAATGGTCGATTCACAAGAAATTAAAATGTCAAGCAAGTCATTTGGAATAAAATAATAATTATCATATTTTGTGGTATTTAATTATCATTTTCATATTTTAAAAGTATTTTACTGTCATTTTTTCTTTAAAAAAACTGATCTGGGAAAAATATTTTTCAATTAAACCTAACAATATTTAAATATGATTTGTTATTAATGGATCTCAGATAAATCTCAGATAAATATATGTGTGTGTAGAAGTCAAATTGAAAATAGTAATATAATCTTATGGACGGATGGACCAGAAGTGAGTCCTTTTTTTTTTTTTTTAAGCTCTCTTTGAATCATAAGGCTTATTTAAACCCTAATGAATCCTATAAAACCCAACTTGCCTGAACACTTGCCAACCAAAAGAAGACCTCAAGCAATTCAACAATAGATATACTATTTTTTTAATGGAGCAAAATAATAGATATACCAATTGACCACGACATTCAATCCTATTCCAGACTGAACAATCAACCCTTTTGTTTTAATTGTTTTTTGGGCCCGGACTGAATAATGTGTTTAACCAACTCACGATTTGAATAATTGACTTTGATTTTTTATTGTTTGTTCTTTCATTGACTGATGTGTAATATGTGTTCCTCTATAATAAATTCTTAAATAGACCCAGTATATTGTGTTACTTATGCTCTCTCTAACAAAAATACACCAAATTATATTATTTAAAAAAAATATAATGTTTGATCTTTATAGTTTTATTGACTTTGTTTTTTAGTCTTTGTAATTTTTTCTAATATTTTTTAGTCTTTATTCAGTCCTTTTAAGAACTAAAACCATTAAAAAATAAAAACTATAGAAATTTAAAAAACAAATGTCGCGCAACCTTTTTAAAACTATGAGGACTGAAAACATTGAAAAAAATTATAGGAACTAAAAAAAAGTGATAAAATTATAAGGATCAAATATTGTGTTTTTCCTTATTTTAAATCCACACGGAAATCCTTAATTTTTAATACTTTAGTGTCGATAATTTTTAATAAAAAACCATTAAGGGGAACGCTGGGAGGGGGATCCTAGTTTTTTTCCTTAAAAAATATAAATACTAGAATATTATAAATTAAGGGGTTGTCATGTGGGATTAAAATAATGAGATTTGGTGTATTTTTATTTGAATGAGCATGAGTGAGTGCATTGGGTCATTGGGTGCACTTAAAAATTTCTCTTCTTTTTTTAGTTTTGTTGTTTACGTGTTTTCTTATAGTAAGCAGTGTGTAATTACTTGTATCTCTTTTTTTTTTTTGGCCAAAAGTGTAATTACTTGCATCTTGATTATTTGGGGAAAAAAAATTGAGGCCTTACAATAATTTTTGTTGAAGGAGCAAAGCTAAAGGTCATCAGTTATGACTTGCAAGATGCAAGGGCAATCTTGATAATATTGAGCCAAGGTCAAATTAGGATAACAGTATCTAAATACTAAAGATTAAATTTATGGAACATGATCAGATTCTTTCTGACATACAAGTTTCCCTTTTGAAAGGAGTGGATCATATAATTGAATCTTTGTTATTGAAAGTAAAACATTAACAATACAAACTTTAAGGAGAATAAAAAAAAAAGTTAGAAAGAATTCATGGGAAAAACCCAATGCATTTCATAGAAGGAATGATGTCTTATAAGTTGGTTCTCATATGTAGAAGTGAAAGAGGTTTATAAACCTCTTCCCCTCCTTAACTCCAAAATACAAGTTTCAACAAAGTTCTTTTTCCAACACTCTTCATATGCACATATAATCCAAAACTTCAAGTTACAAGAAAACTAAGCTAAAATTAATAGGTGAGTACAAATTCCAAGTAATTAAAAGACTGAACTTCAAATTTATTGTTTATACACACTAATGTGCAAAAAAAAAAAAGTGTCTTCTTATGGATCATAAATAAAATATTAAATGATTAGTATTGTTCATGATATGTAAATTTTACATCTTCCTATGAATTTCACTAAATTTATTGATACATTGATAATATAGGATCCTTTTTTAATAAGATCATTTTAATATCACTCGACATTTCAACATAATCATCACTATAAAACTATGGCTTTGTCAGGGGCATTTTAATCATCACTCAAAAGGGATTCTATTTAGCTATAGAATCATGTGATTGACTTTTCATATCAATAACTAATGCACATCTCTTACTTTTTTTAGACCTACACTGCCACCTGGACCAATTCAATGACTAGTTATTTTTAGTACAGTGCATGCATCAATTGGTAATGTGAGAAGTCAATCAGAATAGGCTCTCACATCTATCGATGTTATATTTTTGAAAAAGTAGAATTGACTTCATCTTTCATATTTTGAATTGAGTAAAAAAGGGAGAGAGAAACAAAAGCAAGAAGTAGCTTGGCGGTGAAGGAGCTTGATAGTAAAAAAGCTCAACAAGGAGAAGCAAGTCGAAGGTGAGGTGTTCAACTTTAATGAGGTCGATGGCGAGAAGAGATGGAGACCCGAGGTTGATGACAAGGTTAGGGATATAAAGAGGCAAAGATCAAACTCCAAGCTTTAGATCAAGGCATTCATGCTTCTTTCCCTCCCTCCCTTTAAAAACCCCTCAAAACTACATCATTTTAGGGTATTTCATGAAAAAAATTAACCCAATAACCCATCTAGCTCATGAGAAAACCTAGGTTATTCCAAATTAATCTCGAGCTAGGTTAGGTCAGTTTCAAAGCGATTCAACATGAAAACCAGATAGAAAAATAGGCCGGCTTGTTGGTTCACTAAGTGAATTGGCCAATTCGACCCTATTTTTCATTCCATGGATGCACATCTCTTACTTTTCTTGGGATTTACACTACTTCTTTATTTTTTAATTTTTAATTTTTAATTTTAATATTGCTAATACCCAATCCCACTTTTCTTAACTTTGTGAGTATATTTTGGTAACTTTATATGTTTTTCCTTGTCTTTCAATTCTTTAGATTTTTTATTTATTTTATTAATATTTTGAACATTAATTTCTTTTATTTAAATATTTTTTCATGGTTAAATAAATATATTTTTTATATATTTTAATTAAATTTTATTATTTTAATCATGGTCTGATTGACTTCAATTTGGCCCTTGGTTGAATCATTGATCTTTGAACCATTACCTGGATCGATTCAATGACTAATCCAATTTTTAGTGTTTTGGTTTTAATGTATGTGATGAACTCTAGGCCATTCAAAAGTGATTTTAATGATTCAAATTTAAAACTTTTAACCCATAGTTTTTTATATAAATTTATTTTTTAGAGTGACAATTATAAGGTTATCTTTATTTTAAATTTTACACCTATTAAAAATAATAATTTATTAAAATATAAAAATAATTTTTTATCAAAATTTAGATGGTCCAGATGAGTGATGAACATTAAGATTGGCTCCGTGCATATGTTAGGTTTGTGGTTACACAGAATTAATGGCCATTTTACGGCTAAGCAAGCTTATTATTATGCCAAACAAAATGCCATTGCTATACCTAATGTTGGTCCACGAGGACGTACCCACGTTATAAGAGAAGGAGGCAATTGCGCTCATGAAATTTACAAAAATCACACCTTTTTTTTTTTGGGACAAAATTACACTTGCCTATTTTAAAATTGCAGTTTCGGCTCATAAAAAATCCATTGTCTGCATTCTCTTTAAAATTATCCAGCACACATATTTAAAATGTTGTTTACTCTTGTATTTATTTGAAAAATAAATTTATGATATAAATAAAATTAATATGTACTTCTAAACCTCTCATACAATGTATTTATGTATTATTTTAATTTAGAATTAGATTTTTGTAAAAAATATTAATATTTGCATTTGGAATTGTTTGGGCTTAAAACGAAATATCAAGCCCAAAATAACAATGAGAAATGATAGGCTTAGTATCCAAATGAAAAAAATGCTCGATCTATTTTTAGACAAAGTTCCTTGCAGGCACGACTCTTAAGACTTAAATGATTGGATGTGGAAGATTGTGAAGTGGTTATGGGATTGTTATCTGACGTGCCATGAATCTCGCGGGCATGCCTAATGATTGTGGATATTTCACATACAGGTTTCTAATTCTTCGAGCGCAATGGTCTTAGGCATGAGATTACAAAAGGAGATCAACCGAACAAGTGAAGGGACACACAATTGACACGAAAAACCCCTATTACTTATTCGAATTTACTTTTATATTATGCAAGTAAACGTAGATTTTTAATTTTACAGTTGTAATCGCTGTAACTTTGTACTTCAGTTTCATTAATTCAATAACTTTTACATCAATTTCTTTACATTTTTATTTCTAGGTAAATTGAAGTATGAGAGTCAGGGACCCTTTTGTCATCTTTAAAATTTCATATTTTTGGTATCCTGGTATTTTGTTGTTCAAAACACAATTTGTGATGAACAAGTATAAATATTGCACCCATTGCTAAACATTATTCAAAGCACCTTATATTTTTGAACATCTTATCTAAAGCAATGTCTTATGTTTTTAAATAGAATAAGTAATTCTTTTTTTTTTCTTTTGAGTCTCACATCTTTATTATTTTAATAACTCCTCTTACAAAAATCTATCTATGGTCATTATCATTTTAACTCGTTCATTTTATTCTATAATTTTCCATTCCATTTTCCCCTATCTTTTTCAATAATCAAAACATGTACTCCCTTCATTAAAAAATATAAAGCATTTTTAACTGAATTTTATTCTCAATAAAGTAATCACCTACTTTTTAACTAACATATCTTTTATATTTATCTATATTAAACACCTTACAATAAATATAAAGTTATTATCAATAGAGGCACTTTTGAAAAAAAAAGCAATGATTACATCTCAAAAAATTAAAAATATTTATATTTTTAATATCAAATTTATCAAAAAATGTCTTATATTTTTAAACAACAACAACAACAATAACAAGCCTTTATCTACTAGGTATCCGAACATATATTTTTAAACAAAAGGAGTAATTATTTTTCAAGGACTAATTGTTTTAATAACAATCTCACCTCTTTCGCCTGTAAGAGGTCCCGAGTGTGCATATGAGTGTGTCTCCCTTTTCCATGTAACTAAATCAAATAAGTTTTCATGATTTTATTTAAAAAAATATAAATGCAAAATATTTCACAATGTTAAAAGTTCTCAACTTTCGATTTCTTACCTCGCCAATCATGAATGGAATAAATGGAACGATGTAGAAATATGGTGCTCAAGCCATATTAAGTAAAGAATTGCATAACATACATTTTCTTTTCTTTTTTTTTTTCCTTTTTTACTTTGCACTCAGGTGTTCTATTAGTAGAGATAATTTTATTTGAATCGCGGTTGGATACTAATATTATGTTTGATAAGAAAGAAAAGCCATGAAGAAAAAAGTGGGAAAGAAAAGTAACAGTAGACTATATTTTTTCTTACTTGACTATTAAAAGAAAAATAAAAAAAGAGAAAATTGAAAAAAAAATTAATATATGAAACTCACATCCAATCGCCCAGCCACTTTTAAATTTACCATTTTACCTTTCCCATCCCCTAACTCCTTTCATTTTCTTATATTTAATTGCAGTTTAAAATTTTTAGATTAGTGTATATTTATTTATTTTATAAATCATATTTAAAATTATATAAAATAATTTCCAATTATCTTTTATTCCATTAACAATATATAGTGAAAATTAAATAAATAATATATTAAAAGATATATTTTATTATAGATAAATATTTTTAATGAATAGTAAGGTTATTATTATCAATATAAAAGTTAACAATAATTTTTTCTTCTTCAGCCAATTATAATAAGAGAAAATCATATCTTTCTACTTTTCTTTTATTAGCCAAGTATTGCATAATTGTGAATGCCTCTTTCAAAGCTTAATTTATCATATTATAAGAAATTATAGCCTCTTCTATTATATTTTTGATTTTTGATTAATATATACCAATTACAGTAAATAAAATGATTTATATATTTTATAATTTATTTAAAAGATGAATCATTTTAACTTAAGTTTCAATATCAATATAAAAATGATCATTATATTTTGTTACCTATAAATAGTCATTATCTTTTTTTTTTTTTTGGATAAGAAAATAGTCACTATCTTTATTCTTTATATACTCCTGTCATCACACGATGACATGACATGACACGCATCATCCGCGGGGATAACGCCTTTTTTTTATTCATAGATAGGCTGACCAACAAAGACACGGGTTTGGAAGCGTCCAAAGTTTTTTTTTTTTTTTTTTAAAGATTTTGTCTCCAAAATTCCTCGTAAATTAAAGGGAAATCTCATCTAGAGCTAAAAAAAAAAAAATAAAGTTCAATATATTTTAAAATTATTCTAAAAGTTTAAAGTCTTTTTTGTTGGCCAAAAAATAAAGGCTTCTTTTATAAATAAGTTTTAAAAAAAATAGACACAATTATCTTTAATGACAAAGAAAAAATTTTAAATTCACTATCAATAAATAATTATTTATTATATGTGTATTAAAATTGATGATTTATGAACATTTAGTTGTAAAAATTTAAATTTATTGTTATAATAAAATTTTTTACTATTAATGAACAATTATTTGTTAATATGTGAATTGGTAAATATGTAGATGTAAAAATCTAACTTTATTGTTACCATAAACTTTAATTTTAAATATATAAGTTATAAATTCTAGACTTTGATTTGTAAATAAATGAATAAACACTTATAAATATTTAAATTTTAAATTGTAAAAATTGGTCAAAACAAACATATCAATTTTAAATAAGAATTTCACTCTCAATAAATAATTACCTGTTAATATGTAAACATGTAATTGTGAATTCATGAATATGAAATCATAAAAATTTAAACTTATACTCATTACCTTCTTTTGTTAAGGGCAATTGAGTTTTTTTTTTCTCTAAAATATATTTGTAAAGAGGGTCTTCGATCTACAAAATAATTTCATAATATATTGGGTGCTAATTATAATTTTTTCTCTCTTGGAGCTCTAGATGGGATTGTCCCTAAATTAAAACTTCATGTTTCACCTAAAATAGGATATACACACACACACATGCGCGTAATATTTTATTCATTTTTATATTAAAAATTATTTTTTAATTTTTTTTGTATTTTATATTCTTATCTGTTTTATTGATCATGCAAACCAATCCAAACACCCGATTATAATGCGCTGGCCTTTCTATTAAAACCAAATGATGACAGAGTTCGAACTGAAAATTTGCGAACAACGACAGAGATTAAAAAAAAAAAAAAAGAAGAAGAAGAAAAATCCGAACCAGAGAGAACAAAATTTGAGTCAGATTTGACAGTCGCAGTACCGATCACAATGTCCTGTGTCAGAGAAGGCAGGCTTTAACATTTCCGTTTGGTTTTGGAATCGAATTCTTCCATTCAGTTTGACTAAGCACAGACCTGCCGCTTTCAATCTCACGGATTGGATCAAAAACCATTATATAATTTATATATCACTCTTTTTCTTTCGAATGCTGATGCGTTTGCGGTTAGTTGAATATTTAAAGTTGTTACCTTCTTATAGAGGAAACCCCAATGCGATTCTGACATTTGTTTACCCTGAATTTTGGAGAGGACGTTACCAGAGGGCAAACTAAGTTGAAGTATTTTGAAGCGTGATGTGGTCCGCGTTCTGAAGCTTTTCTGCTTCAACTTGTATCTTCTTCTAAGGTTAGTTTCTCTGGGATTTTGGCTTACTCGCTGTTCCTGAAAATTTGAATTTGTCCCTTTTGAGAGAAAGAATGTTGGGTTTGGGAAGTTCATGGTTTCTAGGTTTAAAAGAGCTGGCTGCTTGAATAGTTGGAAAAGTGTATTGATTTTCATGAATTTTCAATCTTTAACCATTTGAGTTTCTGAATCGTTTCATCCGTCTGTCTCTGTGTCTGTTGCTTCGGATCTTTGAAAGTTCATGTTCTTTTAAACTTATGAACTGGATCAAGCTTTTTTTCATCTTCTCAATTATGGAAATTGGGCCAAAATAATCTTTCTCATGGCTTTTAGAAATTTTCTTCACTCAATTTAAATTAAATTCTTATGAGATTTATGACTTAATTATTTGCATGGCAATCTTGGAATATGCTTTAAATGTGTTGTTGTAACAGATATTTGCTTGTAAATCAGTCATCATCATAATTTACTCTGCCATGAGTGCTATCATCAATAGCATGGAATGTTTTTCCACCATTGTACGATCCTGCTTATTCTTCATTTTTCTTTTATCTGTTCATATCTAGCTTATCATATTCATGTTTTTCTGCAGCTCATCTTTTTCAAGTTGAATTTGAAAGTATTGAAATCCATTATTGCAAACAGTTTATTGATTAGGAAGCATTTGGTAGATTCTCCTCAAGTGGCATTCAAAATCTCAGAATCCCTGAGGTCCTACATTTCTTCACTTTTACCTTTGCAGCTTCTATGATAACTTCTAATCCGACAACTCCTTGCTGTGAAGTTTCTCTTGCAATCTGACAGAGTTTATTGTCTCCTCTAAGAAGAGTGATGATGGACAATTTCCGTGGCAGAGGAGATGAATTCAAGAAGTCTCCATCACAGCATTCATTGTCTTCAGGTGTAGCTGTAGCTATCAAGGGTAACAAGAAAAGCAAGCATATGGTACAATGGGCGCTGGATAAATTTGTTCCTGAGGGGAGAATTATGTTTAAGCTGATACATGTCCATTCTGGTAAAAATGGAGTTCCAACACCAAGTTATATATGTTTTCTGTTCATTGTATTCAAGGGAAAGAAGCATCTTTATCCAGTAAGAGAGTGAAAAATAGTTTCTTGTATATCTCATCACATCTATAAACTTCTTAGCTATAATAATATTGGCAAGAGTTGCACATTTTCCCTGAAAAAATTGCCAGAAATCATTCGTTCTTGTTACCTGAAAGGCTTTGTTTAAATCATCTGACAACTGCTTCAGTGTTTGGCAAGTCTTCAAATGGCAGTTTTTACCTTTAAATTACTATGAAGGATGTATTTAGATGAATGATCATGATAGGATGTCGTTTAATGTTTATAATTTTTTATTGATTGAGGGTGACTTTGTCCCAAAGAAAACAAATCTTTAGTCCACAAGAGAAGCTTCAATTTACTAATTCTCTCCCTATCGAAATCTAGATTTCCCATCATTTAGATGCTTCAATTTACTAATTCTCTCTCACTTTAGAGTATAGATTTTATGTCATGTAGAAGCATCTTATGTATTGGCAAAAGGCGGGAGAAAGTTAAGAGGAGCTTTCCCCCCATGAAAAATGCTGCTGCTTTCACTACCACATCAAAGTGAAACAGGCTTGTATAGTACTTGCTGTGTCTCATTAAATTTTGCTACCATTTTGAAGATATTAGAAGGAGAGAGTAATGTGGATTACTCCATTGTAACAAGATTTGCATTTTCGGGGTAACAAGTAACATCATTATTGATAGTTAAAATTTTTCTTACTTTTTCAATATAGTGGTCATATACACCCAAGTCTGGATTTTAGAAAATAGCTTCATTTTATTTTCATGCCAATTCAAAATCTTTGTCCTTGCCGTGGGAAATACCATCCCTATATGACAAGTACATAATGATGCAGCAGCTGCTTTCAAGAAGGAAATGAAGTGGCAGACAAGTGCAATGCTTCTACCTTACAAGAAAATGTGTGAACAGAGAAAGGTCATATATTATTTCTTGTTAAATTTAGCTGGGACCAATTCAGCAAAGTAAGACTTGTACGCTTGTTCTGTCAATGCAGGTTCATGTAGATATTGTAGTGATTGAATCTGATGATGTAGAAACCGCAATAGCAGAGGAAGTTGCTAAGAGTGCGATAACCAACCTGGTTATTGGGGCTTCATCTCATGCCATATTTACAAGGTACTCCCTCCTTCCCAAATTATAAGATACTTTTAGACAGAATCTCACATACCAATAGACTTCGTTAAATACACTTAACAACCTTATCTTTTAAAAACAAAAATATAAACTTTCAAAAATACCTATCATTTAATATATTAAAAAGAAAAGGGACGGAAATTAATTGTAGATAGAGAAAGGGTAATATTAAAATTGGTGCATTCAATGAAATCTTAATCTACTCAAAGCGTTTTCTATTTTGAGACGGAGAAACTCTTTCAAAAGTGCCCTATAATTTGGGATAGAGGGAGTATTTACTTTCTGTATTGATCTATGCTGCAGAAGTAGTTCTGGTTTAAAATATACCTACTTCTATGTAACTTTTGACAGGAAGGTGGTGACAAAATATTTATACTATTACCTTGAAAAACAAGTCCTTTCTAGAAAATTGTAGATTGCATATAGAGCTTGGAATATGAACCAACTTGGATCATGTGGATTGGATGAAATGTGGGTTGGGTTCAACTTGTTTCTATATGGGTTGGAAAAATCCCAATCCAACCCTTGAGGATTGGTGGGTTACCAACTAGCTCATTGCCTATGTGGCAATGACACCTCCATGTAAATGTGAGATCCAGGGTTTGAACCCTGCTTTGGCACCTAAGTGTGTGATTTATGTTTAATTGATCATTTTTTTTTTAAAAAAAGAGGGTTGGTTGGTTAAATGGGCTAACCTACCAACCCATTTATTTTTTTCCAATTTATTTTTTGCATGAATTTTTTTTAAAAAATACACCTAATTGGCGAGTTCCAATTTGACATTCCTTCATGATTCATTCTAGATACACCAAAATATTAATCTATAATGTATGTGCAAAATATATGAATTGATCCAGTTAAATAACTCATGCCTAATATGATTTACACTCACAAAATTTTCCCTTTTTCCTTTTTTTTTTTAAAAATATTATGGGTTAAACAGGCCAGCCTTAATCCATCAGGGTTAACCCATATGATTCACGAGTTATATGGTTCAAGCTAAAAAAAACTCATTTTTATTTGGGCCAATTTTCCCCCCAACCCAACCTTTTATGACCGGTTATTCGGGCCAACCCACATAACTCGACACATATTAGCAACTCTAAATTTGCATATGATATGAGACAGAATGGAAATACAATTCACTTTTTAATGTTAGTTATTTATTGCCTATTGTCAAAAACGTTCATCATCCTGTTTAACAAGTCATTTGAATAGCATACTCTTTCTTTAATGTTCATATTTGTTGTCAAGTTGATTTGAAAAACTCTGCTTATTGTGGCGTTTTATATATTAACTGGTACTTTTGAGGTGATCTTCCTAACTATTATGTAACATCTTGAAGGGCCAATCATGAAACCTTCTGATGCTTGTTGTCTTGGAATGAGTTGTAATGCTGCAGGCGAAAACAATTTTTTTGTCCATAAAACTCCCCTTTTGTCCGGATTTCTTGCATCAATTGTTCTCTGTCAGATATGCGGTGATGACATCCTGTGTTAGTTGCTCACAAGCTTATCTAGATTTACATGCATAAACACATACGTATATACTGTTATAAGTATAAGTTTAAATGGAGAGTCCATCTCAAAAGACTAGATTAGATTGGAGAAACCTTTAGACTTATAAGCCTCACTTTTCATATGAAACTTCTTGATGTGGGACTCAACACATATTGATGCATGCAAGTATCAATCAACTTTTCTTTTTCCTCTTTCTCTTTCGTTCCTTTTCTTAAGATGAGCTTTATTGATCTTGATCAGATTATGATGGTTTCCTTGGTGATTTTTCCCCCAGTAAACTGAAGGGTCTATCTGCAAAAATCTCATCATGCACTCCAAGATTTTGTACAGTTTATGCTGTTTCCAAAGGGAAACTGTTTTCTTCACGGCCATCAGACATAGAGATTGATGGAAACTTAATAGATGACAGTAGTGAAACCAGTTGTTCGACCAGTAGCTCATTGAACTCTGCGTCCACCTCTCAGATAGGTATTCTAGTTCATACATTTAAGTTACTGAGGTTTTCTAAATAATTGATTACATTATGAGCAAACAATAAGGAGAATGAAGTGTCTTGGTATTATTACTAGTCTTAACATCAAATTCAAAACCTTGTCTAATATCTGAACTTATTGAAAATCATGTTGATTATGCTAAGCTTTTTATGGCACAATCATTCCTTTATTGGAGCATTGTTAGTATATTGTACATTTTTATGTTTCTTCCCTTACTTCTGTCGTTGTATTTCATGTGGTTTATTCAATTCTGAGAATAAAACAATAGATCATTTGGGTCTTGTGGCCTTGTCAATGAGAAGTTTTAGTGGTGTATGTGGTATTTATATGAATTTGCGTGGAGTTGCATATGGATATCCAATTTTAGCACTCTTGTTCTGAAGGCCTATTCTTAGAATACTATTAATGACATATGATTTTGAATATGCACAGACTATAGCTCAGTTGGATCGTATGCTTCTATACCTTCCTCTTCCCTAGCAGCACAGAGATATCAAGCTCTTTCAAGCATTAATCAGACCCTTCAAAGCACAAAATCTAGTTTAATTGAAAATGACCGCCCTAGAAGCCATTCCCTAGATCTTGGGATAGAGCAAACTGCTATATATTCTTCTACCAGAAACTCAGATGTTGGCTATGCTCTAAGCCGGGCTTCTAGTTACAAAAGCAATTTATCAGATGGCGAATCTTGGAATTATTATCAAAATCCCACCATGGATGCACCACTGGCATCTGTGTCGCCTGATAAGCAGGTACCTTTCATTTCTTTATTTCAACAAATGGTATTTGTATAGCTACAGATTATACACCAAGCAATGGTGGCTCTCTGATATAATTCCTATTTCTAGTGGTAGCATTGTAATGATAAAGTAGACTATACTGCAGCATGCAAATTCTGGGGAGAAAAATTTATTTATTTATTTTCTCCCCTGCTTTGCCATTTATATGAGCAGGAAAATCTTAACGTTGAGCTGGAAAAGTTGAGAATTGAACTAAGGCATGCCCAAGGAATGCACATGGTAGCTCAAAGTCAGAGCAGTTATGCATCAAAAATGGTATTATCCAATTGCTTCCGTCTTTCTCTAATATGGTAATGCTAACCTCCACGTTTGTTATTTGGAGGTTAGCAGTATTTACATTTGTGCTTTGGATGAACAAAACCTCTACTTTTCCAATAAAAGAAAAAAATAAAGGGTTAGGTACATTTTTACTTTTGAATCTTTTTTTTTTTTTTTTTGAGGTGCACTAGCCTCCCTAAAATCAAGGGTGATACAATGTCATCTCTTAAATATTAAAAAAGATGCAAAAAACTGTCAGTTTGACCATTACTGGGCATGGAAAATTACAAATAAGGCCTAAAAAATTACAAATAAGTCCCCAATAATAAAATTAATACAATGAAGTCCCTAAAATTACAAATAAATGCCAAGAGACTAATGTTATTTCTTACTCATGTAAAAGACTTTAAAATATTAATAATTTAATATTTAATACCTTAAATATCAATGTTATTTACCAATCTTCACACTCAATTTACAAGTCAACTTTTGAATTTACAAATTCTTTAGAAATTTACAATGTAATTTGTGTATATGTGATTTATAAGTGAATATGTGATAATTTATAAATTTTTCTCCAAAATTTATAAATCCTTTACAATTTTTTTGCTCAACTAGTGTATTCAACATTTATCAGTAAGTGTGTTTCTTACAATAGCTAAGTTGCAAAATAAAATAGTGTGATAATTTATAAGTCCTTCAAAAATTTGTATCTGGTGTAAAAAACACATTCACTTATAAACCATGGATTCACTAGGTAAGTTACAAATTTCTAAAGTATTTGTAAATCTCAAAAGTTGACTTAAATTGTATGCTAAGATTTGTAAATAACATTTGATATTTAAGCTATTTAATATTAGAAATTTAATTATACATTATTCAAAAAACTAATATCTTTTAACTACTTATTGTCATTGTTGCTGGTATTGGTGATCAAAAAATTACTTAGTAGCTAATCAAAGTTGTTAGTCAATGATATCTTTGTCTTTAATGAGTGAAGAATAACATTAGTTCCTTTGAATTTATTTGTAATATTGAGTACTTAGTTGGTATTAATGTTATTGTTGAGGACTTATTTGTAATTTTCTAGTCTTATATGTAATTTTCTTGGTCCACTAACAATCAAACTAATAGTCTATTAACAGAAGTGTAACATGGTATCTTTTTAAATATTTAAGGAGTGACATTGTGCCATCTTTGACTTTAGGATGACTAGCGCGTGTCAAAAAAAGTTCAACAATAAAAATGTATCTTAATCCCCCAAACAAAATTACATGGCCCTTTAGGTTTTTTCTTGTAATATTGCATGAATTGTGCATGTTAATGGGTACTTATGTTTTTATCTCTTAGTAGCAAAACTAATTAGGTTTTGATCTTTTGCGATTAAATTTGTCTTCACGAGAAATGAGGACTTTTGGGTAAAGTGACGTGATCCTATATGCAAATTGAGAAGTAAGAGGAGTAAGTAATAATCGTTAGATCACAAATTAATAATGAATATTGAAGCAAAAGTTGTTGATGCAAAATCAAAATCAAAGAAGATTTCATGCTTTTATTTGTGATCAACTTGGCTATTAATTTGTGGTCACTTTACTGTTCTCGCCTTAAATACTCTTTGTTAACTTTAGGTGAGAGGAGTTTGAACGCACTTGTGGATAAAAAATTTATTTCACAATTAATACGAAACTGTTGAAGCAGAATTAACATATTTGTTACACGTATGACAGTTCTTGCATTAATCTGAATTGTTAGTTTGTGATCTAACAGTGATTGCATGCTTTTCTCAGCTCTCACTTAAAATCACCCACCATGCTCGATAAACCCCATGTGTGCATATGTAGCTTTGCTGCGATTTAGTCTATAGCAATTGGAGTAGAAGCAAATATTCCCATAAATGGCATGGAATGCATTTCATTGATTTAAAATGTCAGTTGGAGTAAAATTTTTAAATGGTTTAAACAGTTGAACAATCTAAGTAAGAAGAGAATCGAGGAATCTACGAAACTGAAGGAAATTATTGCAAAGGAGCACAAGGCCAAAAAATTAGTAATAAAGGAGAGAGAGAAATGTGAGACAGCAGAAAGAGAAGCTGCTTATTTGATAAGAAGTGCTGAAGAGGAAGCCTTTGAAAGAAGAGAAGCAGAGAAGAAAGCTGTCGAAGCTGCCAAAAGGAATGAAATGCTAGAGGATGCTCTTAGCGGTTCCCTGCCTCAGTATAAGAAGTTTACTTGGGATGAAATAGTGTCAGCTACCTCATCATTCTCTGAAGAGCTAAGAATTGGAAAAGGAGCATGTGGAACAGTTTACAAGTGCCATTTGTATCATACACCTGTGGCGGTAAAAGTTCTCCACACTAATGAGGACCACATTATCAAGCAACTCCAACGAGAGGTATGGAAACTTTGTGAACGCATATGATTTGCGGAAAACATGCACGTGTGTGTGTTAAAATTTATATAAACAAACTATTCTTTGGCCTTTAACTGTTCACATGCGTACTCTCTCAGGACATTACCTTTCTCAAGAATGCCTTTATTTGTATCAAGGTGTCTAGTCTAGGAATTTAGTTCAAGTGCTTAATATGGTTAATACTGTATCTCCATTAGTTTTGTATTAATGTTTCACATTTTTTCTTTATCGTGATATAAATACACATATGATAATTGGCTTTTGGCCAATGAATAACTAGCCAGATAAGTATGAAACTAAATAAGCCACATGATTATCCTTATTTTCAGCTAGAAATACTGAGCACAGTTCGTCATCCAAATTTACTTCTTCTTCTTGGGGCATGTCCTGATCATGGTTGTCTTGTGTATGAATACATGGAGAATGGTAGCTTGGAGGACAGATTACTCCAAAATAACAGTAATATCTCAATCCCTTGGTTCAAGAGGTACCAAATTGCATTGGAAGTGGCCTCAGTGCTTGCCTTTCTTCATAGCTCAAAGCCCAAACCTATCATCCATCGTGATTTGAAACCGGCGAACATCTTGCTAGATCGAAATCTTGTGAGCAAGATTGGCGATATTGGCCTTTCTACGTTACTCTCTTCTGATACTTTGTCTACAATGTTCAAGGACACAGATCCTGTTGGGACGCTCTCCTACATAGATCCTGAGTACCAAAGGACAGGGTTAATATCTCCCAAATCTGATGTATATGCTTTTGGAATGGTGATCCTGCAATTATTAACTGCAAAACCAGCTAGAGCGCTTACTCTTGTGGTAGAAACAGCAATTGACAAGGGAAATTTAGCTGAAATATTGGATCCTAAGGCAGGGAATTGGCCAATTCAGGACACTCTGGAATTAGCTCAATTAGGCCTAAGCTGCGCAGAACTTCGGCGCAGAGACAGACCTGATTTGAAAGATCATGTAATTCCCATAATGGAGAGATTAAAGGAAGTCGCTGATAGGGCTCAACATTCTGCCATAACTATTATTGTTAACTCTAGACCTCCTAATCACTTCATCTGCCCAATACTTCAGGTACCAAAATATTTCACTTTGCTCATCTCGTTGATTCTCTAATCTCTTTGCTAAAATAGGATGTTCTTCATAAAAGACATTTTACATTCTGCAAATGGCTTCAACAAGATGACGTCTAATTCTTGTTCATGTGAATGAGTTAACTGGTTGACTTCTATGATGGTAAAACATTATATTTTGGGGTAAAAACATAGATATAGTTTTTAGCGTTTGGTAACAAGTATTTCAATAGAATGAAGAAATGTGGAGGAATTTTCTCTGATGATTGTCCACATGTTACTTTCCAATATGGCAAGTTGGCAACAATAAAGGAACGTTCACCTTATTGTCCTTCCCTTTCCTTTACTTTCTCTATATTATTTTGAAAGGGTAAAAAATAATACTGTGATTGGTGCAGGATGTGATGGATGATCCTTGTGTTGCTGCTGATGGTTATACATATGATTACAAAGCTATTGTAACATGGTTGGAAAGGAATGACAAATCACCAATGACAAATATGCCTTTACCTCATAAGAATCTGATTCCCAATCACACACTTCTATCAGCTATTATGGAGTGGAAATCTGGAGAAAAATGATACAAAGTTGGTAATTGTCAGTTTCGTTGTTGGGCTATTGATTTCTCCATTTTAGCTTTGGTATAAAAAAAAAAAGGGTGTTTTTTCTGGTTGGTAGTGTCTTAGATGTAAATTTTACTTTTATTTTGTCTATAATCTGGTGAGGTAACTGTAAATGTGTTTTGATTCGGTTGTCGGACTTGGGCTCTGTTTAATGCCTATAATTGATGTTTGTATTTGGCTCTTTGAAAAGGAGAAATATTGAAATTTGAAAGTAGAGATAAATTATAAGGTTAATGAGCAATATATCTCCTAACTTATTATGTGAATAACATTTTAAACCTTAAACTCATAGTCTCAGAACTTTTAAATTTGTAACATCTGATCCCCAAACGTAAAGTGTAAGAAACGATATTACTTTTTAAATTTGCAGCATCCGTCTCCTCTTCCTTTCTCTCTCATCATCTCTCCCCACTTCCTTGTCTCTACCCTCACGCTTCTTCAATCATTTCCTTCAGCCTTGTGCCGGCACCTCCTCTTCATCTTTCTCTTCTCACTCTCTCACTGCCTCTGCAACCTCTAACCTCCCTTCTACAAAGATGAATAGATGACAATCTTTTACCTCCTCCTCCTCATATTTGAAACAAAGCAACCAACAACGGAAACATAAAACATGTTCAAAACCAACGAAGGAACAGGTCAATGAGGGAATGGAAGAATGCTGATGGTGGTGTGGTCGCCAAATTTGAGAAAAGTGGGTGTATATGACATCGATGATAGGTGGGGATGAGGTTAATGGTGATGCTCTGTCCGAAGAGGCCGAAGTCGTTGGTGCTCGGATTCGCAGAGATCTAGAAGGACAAAAGAGGAAGAAGGAAGCTTTTAATTTAGGTGAGGAAAGAAGGGGGGGATTGCAGAGAGGAGGAGGAAGTGGAATTAAGGTTGACACCGGCAATGACGGTGATTCTGGTGAAGGTAAAGGAGAGAGAGAGGGCAACGATGAATCATCCGTGAAGAGAGAGAAAGGAAGAGAAGAGGAGGGAGATACCACATCAGCATGTAGGTGGGCCTCACCATCTAAAATGTAATGCCGTTTCTCACCCTTAACGTGTTGGGAGTCAGATGCTACAGATTTAAAATTTAGGAGAACTTTTGTTTGTTTCATGAATTTAAAATTTGAGATCTATTTGCATAATAATTTAGGAATATATTGCTAGCATTTTTAAACTTTTAAAATATAATTATAATTTTTTTAAAAGCATCCATATTAATAATAATTTTATATTTATTATAGGGTGTTTAATAGAGGTAAATATGAAAAGATAGAATTCGTTGAAAAGTAGGTAACTACTTTATTGGGGTGAAATTTATTAAAAATATTTTATATTTTTAAACGTAGAGAGTATATATATATATATATATATAAATATAAATAAAGGTATTAGGGTTTTTTGGATAAGTGACTTTAAATCTAAATAATTAACTTCAATTTTGAGCTTTTTAAAGTAGTAAAAGCATTTTTTAAAAGTTAAATGTAAGTAAATCCAAAAGGGGGGGGGGAGTATACCGAAACAAGCCTTAAATGGAGTGAAGTCATTTTCCAAATTTTACACTTGCTTTTCCATTATTAGTGAAAAACAAAACATCCTCAGTTGGAAAAAGCCATTGTCTTTTTCTTTTTCTTTTTCTGTGAAGCCATTTTCTATGTAACAATCAAATAACCTAATATTTTTCACTTAAAATTCTTTGAATCAGTTAGAAATGTGGACTCATACTTTCCTTCTGTAATTTTATGAATATCAATCCAAGGTAGATATACAAATAATTCTAATAATCTATGTGGAAAAATAATTAATTGATAGTCTTAAATATTCTCAAACATTAATTTCTCTGCGGAGCATCCATCATCATCTATACATATCAAGTTGATGTTGGAAGATTATTTCTGAAAAACTTGTCGACATAATTGAGTGTGAAGTTGCTTATTGCCCAATCAAGTAAATAGTCCTTGTTTTATAATTTTCATAGATTCAAGAAAGTATAGAACCTCATCTACTGGTTAACTCTAGTTGAAGGGGTTAATCTCTCATAACGTAGCAAATCAATATTCAAATCCTTACCAGGAGGAGAGATGCTAATATTTAATGCTTAATTATATCTTAATAGAATTTCTTTTAATAAAATAATATCTGTAAGTAATCAAAAAGTAAAATATAGAGCCTCAACCTGCCAACACAATGGAGAGAAATTAAAACAGAAGTAAATGTTTATTGACATTTGAATAAGAAAATTTCTTACTAAAATATGTTTCCTTAAGACATTTTTCTGGTTGATTTTTTTATTGAATATTGAGATTATATAACGTAATAATTAGTTGTTCAAAAGTAAACATGTCTTTTTTTCTCTTGCATTCTGTGCATCTGGAACCTTTTGGCTCCACTGCTACCTGTATAAAGAAATATTTCTAAGTATCTAACAGAAAAGGAAACACAAGACGCAACAACAACAATCAAATCCACCTTTCAAACCTTTTTGGATTCAAAATTCTTCACCTGCAGTAATATCACTCTGTTATTTTCAATATCCACATGAAAGATGTCAGCTTTTCGCTATCGACCATTAGAAAATAAAGAAGATCCACCAAAACTAACGCACATAACGTAAGTAAAGTATGAAACAATAAGATATAATTTAAGCAATAAGCCATATTGACTTAAGAAGTCTCTTAATTCCACTTTTAGATAGATCAAGCCATTGATGTATGAGATTTATTATGAAATTGAGAAATACCATAACATTGATATTGTTATGTAGGTAAAACTTGCTAGCATTTACACATGGACAATTGATCTAAATGTTAGGTTGCTTCAACTTTGATCAAATTGCAGGTAAGGACTAAGCAAGACTGTTCATAGCTTTTTTAATTTGGAAAAATTACAAATTTATCCCATACAGTAAACTTATTTATATATAAATCCCACAAAATTGAAAACTGTAGTCATGTCCCTTAAAACTTGAGTATAATTTAGGATTTGGGTGTAAAGATAATACTGCCTTGTTAATTTAGCTTTTACTTACAACTATAATTTCAAAATTTATAAGTAAAAATTTGTAATTCACAATTTGAATTTTTTTAACAGTTGATATAACATGAATCTCCATGGAGTTAATTAGGCCTACTTAAAACTATAATTGGTCTAATTGGGATGTGTGAAAAGTAATAGAACTCTTTTAAAATTTACATATTTAGCCTATGGGTTATTTAAGGTTAGACTTAATTAATAAAGCTATTGACAATTGATTTGATTTTCTCTTAATATAACAACTTCACCATTTACAAGTAAAAATTTATAATTGACAAGCCAAATTTCTAATTTTACACTTGACATATCATAAAGTCTCTATGGAGTTACTTACGCATGTTTAATGTTATAATTGATCTAATTGGGAGGTCAGAAAAATAATAGAACTCATTTGAGATTTACATATTTAGGCTAAGAGTTGTTTAAAGTTAGACTTAATTAATAAAACTCTTGACAATTAATTTATATTTTAATTACAATTTCAATTTAAAATTTTTACATAAAAATTCATAATTTTCAAGTCAAACTTTTTTGTTTAACATTTGATATAACATGGAGTTTCCAGGAAATTAATCATAATTGGTCAAATTGAGATGTATAGAAAGTAATAGAGCTCATTTGGAATTTAAAGATTTAGCACATGCATGGGGTTGTTTAAGGTTAGATTTAATTAAAAAAGCTATTGACAATTAACTTTGGCTTCACTTAAAACTACAACTTTACAATTTACAAGTAAAAATTTATAATCTACAAGTTAAATTTCTCGTTTAACATGATATAACATAGAGTTTCTATAAAGTTAATTATGCATGCTTAAGGTTATAATCGGTAATTGGGATGTAAGGAAAAAAATAGAGCTCATTTGGAATTCACATATTTAGTGTACACGTGGTTTAAAGCTAGACTTAATTAATAAAACTCTTAACAAATAATTTGGATTTCATTTATAATTGCAATTTAAGAATTTATAAGTAAAATTCATAATTCACATGTTGAATTTCTTGTTTAACACTAGATATAATATGAAGTTTTCATAAAGTTAATTTTGCCTACTCAAGACTATAATTGATCTAAATGGGATACATGAAAAATAATAGAGCTCATTTGGAATTTATATATTTCACCTACGGGTTGTTTAAGGTTATACTTAATTAATAAAGCTATTAAAAATTAATTTAGCTTTCACTTAAAATTATAACTTAAGGATATCCATGCACCATTATTAACTTAAGGATAGAAAAAACTCTTGGATAAAAAGTTTGTAAGTATTTTTACATTTTATGTTTGCTTTATTTTTTTTAACGGTTACAATTAAGGGACATCAAGTAAATTTAATGAGATGAGAAAGGTTGTATTTATTAATTATTAAATATCATCAAATATAAATAATATGCAAGGCCCTGTTTGGTGACATGTTAGATAATTTAACATGGTGTCTTACCTTCATCTCTCTGAGAATATTTCGAAGTGAAGGTACCAACGTCGTATTAAAAGGAAAAAAAAACTAGAGAACCTAAACTATCGAAAAAAAATGGTAAAGGGATCAATAATAAAGCATAATAAAATTATAAGGACTAATAATAATGTCTTTCCAAAATAATATTTCTTTGAATTTTAATAAAATTAATAATTTTTATCAAATGTTACGTATAATTGTTTTGCTTTTTATAACATTAAGAGGTTTCAACCACCAAGAACCTAATTTCAAATGACGTGTCATCACAGGAACAAGACAACGTAAATATTAAGTAACTATTTATTTAGAAGATCAAATATTTGTATCATTGTGGCTAAATACAAAGTTTTAAAATAAATAAAAAATAAAAAGCTGTAGAATCAGTTGAGATCGCTCAATCGAGGTGCCAATTTTATCCTATATTTTTTTTTCATCAAGGCTAGAAACCACGATAGAGAATAAAGTTTCCGTTTGGATACTCAAATTAATCAATTTTGGAAGTAGCAGCACAGTTTTGGGAAAATATATCTAAATGCCCTTGTTACATGCTAGAACCAATTATGAAGTTCAATTCTTTTAGAAATATCCAAACACCCTCGTAAATGCCAAAATCAATGATGAACCTAAAATCATGATTATTTCATAACTTGCTATCACCTACTTTCAAAAATCGATCCTATACAAGTCCTAAACTTATAAATCAGTTACAACCCAAAATCAATTTTTCCAACTCAATTTCTGCAAATTTTGACAGACACCTTCAGATTGATTTCTGGTGCTACTATGAAGAGGAGCATGTACAAAAGGAATCCTATATCCTATAATCATGATAAAATCTCTCCAAGGTTCAAGGAGACCGGACAATCAACACCTGGTCAGTTGCACACTTTCAATGCACAACTAACAAATGGTTGATGTCAACAACCAAATGGTTTAGCTGTACAATGATTCAAACAAACAGGAATATATCAAACAAACAAGTAATTCTGTAAAAACATGGGTCATGATAAGCTCCAAACAGTAAAGCAAGAGCTCATGATTGCGACTTCTATGTAGTATGAAGCCAAGTCATAAACAACCAACGTTCCAGCAGATATTGTGTTCAACTCTTCTCTTGTAAATTGCACAGATAAGCTCCAACATCTGGGGAGTCTCTCTCTTGAATGGTTCAAACAAATCCATGATAATATCATCAACTGCTGAAGAAATTTGACATTGTAATTCCTTGCATTATCTTAAAACTATTTGACATAGAAAGTAATGAAAATTTATTCACATTGATAAAAACCCAGTTGAAATCCTTCCAAATATGTGTGCCTACCCTTGCAGAAATTTCCCTTGCAAGCCACGGAACAAAAGAGCATCTGCAGTGACAATGCTTTAGATTAGAAACTCCAGCGACACAGAACAAGCTCATCTGTCATTGCCCCCAACGAGAATATAAGGGTGAATTTTAAAACGTCAAGACATAAATGTTACTGCGATCAATAATGGCCTCTGGTGCAGATGAAGGGTACAAGGCAAAATCTGTAAATCCTGAATTGAAGCCTTTTCAAGTCTAAAAGCGATGAAGAAGTCTGAAAAGCCTTTCTTTTAATTAGAACAGAAAAGTACGACAGAAAAACATAACATGGATACCACAGAAACTAAAAGCCGTGGATGGATACCGCACAAACTTTGAAGCAATGTTTAGACACGGTGCAAAATAGAAGAAAGCAACAATATAACATGGTATTTCTTATAGTTTTGGTCACAGAGGGATATGCGTAAAGGAATAGATTCACACCAACAGATAGAAGGAACGAATAGCTGAGTGGCGGCTAGAAATTGTCCCTCACAAACTGAGCAAGTTAGCATATCATTATCAATCCTAATCTTCAGCGAAGACCGTCATAGTCCAACATGTGAGATTCCAACGTCCAGTGATGTAAACAAGAGTAAGAGAACAAGGATTGGTCAACCTGCTCAGTTCAAGGCCATGAAACTTGAACAGAAAAGCAAGAACAAGGATGGTTTTGAAACATTCCAAAAGTAACAACCAATCCTTGTGAAGTCCTTGAAGGAGAGCCAAAGATAATCATCATTCCACATGCCGTGAATGCGATGTCATTAAATCACCCCAACCCATTCTATACATTTCTGCACTCAACCACAAGCCCTATTAGTCTCAAGCAAAATAGGGACGATAGAGGCCTCCCTAATTATAACCCTGTGGAACCAGGTACTTATCAATCAGATTATGCAAGAATCGAAGCCTTATTTGAGTTTCAAAGCATTATTTCACCAGGAGGGAAAGGGAAAAATCTCAAAGTCCAACTGTTAAATAGCAAATAACAAGAACCCAGAAAAGTCTCGTCGAAAAAGCTATTTATACCACAGAATTGAAGCCTTTTTAAGTTCCAACGCATTATATCAGAACAACAAACATTGAGAAAGTCTCAAAGCCAAACTTTTACAAGGTGAAAAACAAAAAGCACACATGCAGTCATGTGCTGACCACCAATAACAAGAACCATTTTTATCGGTAAGGCTAAAGGACCATTGGGAGCTATTATTCAATATAATAGGGAAATTGATGGAGGTGTTGCACCTAGGATACAAGCTGGGTGGTTTAATTGAAGAAAGGCTAAAGAAGTTATCTGCGATTGAAAGGTGCTTAATAAACTTAAAGGGAAGTTTTATCGAATTGCTATTAAACCAGTCATGTTATATGGTAGTGAATGTTGGGCTTTAACAAGACAGAAAGAGCATAAAGTTGAAGTAGCAGAGGTGAAAATGTTGAGATGAATGTGCGGGCATATACATAAAGATGAAATCCGAAATGAACATACACAATAAAAAGTGGGAGTAACATCTATTGAAGGGAAAATAGTAGAAAATTGTTCGAGATGGTTTAGACAGGTACAGAGAACATCGCGGGAAGCACCAGTAAGGAGAGTGGAATGGATTTTTTTGAGCCCTGTTAGAAGGGGTAGAAGAAAACCAGAGAGAACACTTATGAAAGTTGTTAACCTAAACCTCTTAATTAACAACATTCTTAAAAGCTTGGTAAATGATAAAGCACGATGGGGTCGTGCAATCTGTGTAGCTGACCCATTTAGTGGGATAAGGCTTGTTATTGTTGTAGTAAATATATTTGTAATGTAGTACGTGGGATGCATTACGCAAGTATACACCCATACACACATGGAAAAAAAATTGCACGCTTAAGATGATGAACACTATAGTTTTTTTTTGCATGACGGACAATTTTTATCTCTTCTCTTCATTTTTGGCCGTTTGAATTTAACACATAAAATTTGTTAGACGACCGAGTTATGAAAGGGATACAGAGTCCAAGTTAAGCGGCAAATAAGAAACCACACATGGTCTTCGCACAAGATATTAGCTCACAGCGAGGGTGTGTTCACCTGCATTACGCTTTTGCCTGCATTCCATTACTAGTCCTGAACACGGCAGAGCCAATACCTATCATATCAGTATAAATTTGAATGCAATATCTATCAGTATCTTAAAAAATATTTGACACTGTAAGTATTGAAAATTTATTGATGCTAATAATTCAGCTTAAATCCTTCCTAATATGCGTGCTTACCCATGAATGTTAGAGTGAATTTTAGAAATTCAATATATAAATGTTACTGTTAAAGTTGCTAGTTTTAGCAAGGCGATTCTAGTTCTCAGACAAACATGCAAAGAAAAACAGAGCTAAGTGTGATCACGAGTCATCATATGTCTGAATCAGAGTGGAGGAAGCTTTACCTGTGAATATGCATGGCCCGGCCTCCAGGGCAACGAACAATGGCCTCTGATTTGAATGAAGGGTAAAAGGCAAAGTCTGTAAATCCCAAATTGAAGCCTTTTTAAGTCTAAAGGCAGTGAAAAAGTCTAAAAAACCTAACTTTTAGAAAACTACTACCGAAAAACATAAAATGGAGAAGTATGCACAAAGCCAAAACCCACATTTACAAAATAGACAGCTGTAAGTTACTGCTCCTTCTTATGGTAAAAGCCATAGGTACAGAAACTTTGAAGCAACGTTAAGATAGAGGGAATATACCCCTATATATTGAATTACCCATGTTTCTGAAAAATAGAAGCAGGCGACAATGTAACAAGGTATTTTTTCAAGTTTTTTGCAAAGAACTAACGGTTATGATCACAGATGTACTTTTTCTGCTGATTGCATTAAAGAGAAAGGGATGTATGTAAAGGACTAGATGTACGCCAAAAGAGAGAAGGAACAAACACCTGAGTGGTGGCTAGGAAATACAATAGTTGGGGCAATTGTCCTTCACAAGCTGATCAAGTTAGCATATCATTATCAATCCTCGTGAATGGGAGCCTTAAACAATCTTCAGCAAAGAGCTTTACAGTCCAACATTTTGAGATTCCAGCATCTACTAATGTAAACAAGAGAAAGAGAACTATAATCGTGCAAGCTGCTCTTAGTTTATGGCCATGAAACTTGCATAAGTGAAAAAAAAAAAAACAGAGAGAACAATGCTGGTTTTGAAACATTCCAAAAGCAACAACCAATCCTTGTGCAGTCCTTCAGAGAGGGCCAAAGATACTCATCTTTCCATATAATTTGATGTGATCGGATCGCCCCAAACCATTCTATGCATACCTGCACTCAAAAACAAGCCCTGTTAGTCCCGAGAAAAATATTGACAGAAGATTTGAAGCCTTCCTTGAGTCTTAGAGCATCATATCAGGAGCGGAAAAAGGGAAAAAGTCTCGAAGCCTAACAAATTAATAGCAAAGAACAAGAAACTGGATAAGTTTTTTCAGAAAAAGTCGAAGATACCACAGAAACTCTGAGACAGCATTAAAAAGTACTACGGTCTTATAAAGTGAATATCAAGGTACACATTATAGTGCCAATGTTCATGGCTAAAAAAAAAAAAAAAGCAAGTAACAGTGTAACAAATAATTGAAAATATATACCACGGTCGAATGAAGTGGATATCAAGGGGTGCATTATATTACTGATGCTTAAGAAAAACAGCAGCTATTAACAATGCAACAAATAATTGAAAAAATTCCCTGCAGCCGCACAAAGTAAATATCCAGGTATGAATTGTATTACACATGTTTATGATAAACAGAAGCGAGCAACAAGATAAAGTAGATGTCTTGAAGCCCAACTATTGATTAACAAATAACCAAAAAAAAACCCCAGACCCAGAAACGCATTGTAGAAAATTGTAATATGGCAATCGTTTGCTTTGGGAAAAAGTTTCCACACGTATGGTAACTGAAGTTTATGCTGTTGATTACATTAAACAGAGCAACGCATAAATCCAATAGATGCAGGAAAAAATATAGAAGGAGCAGAAACCTGAGTGGCGTCTAGGACTAGGAAATAGAATGATTGGAGTACTCCTTCGCAAACTCAAGCTTGTCTAGCATCGTCAATCCAAACATTAGCAATGTGAGCAATCTTTTCCCAATCAACATTGAGATTTGGGCATTTGATGACAGCAAGATGCCTCAGCTTTGATGACAAAACGCCCTCTGGAAGTGTTTCCAGTTTTGGACAATCCTCTACTCTTAGAATGCTAAGAGACGGAGCAGAAAAGTTCGCAAGTGATTCCAAATTCCCCAAACGTTCAAAGCAACACCACTTTAGCCTGGGGGCAGAAAACGCCCCTCCTGAAAGTGATACAAATTTTGGGCACTCCTTAATGTTCAAATCTGTAAGATTTGTTGGGTCATCCTTGCGCCCCTCTGAAACAGAAATCATTTCAAGGTTATCACACCCATCAAGATATAGCCACTGAAGTGTAGGGAATAGATCCAAAGCGAAGTTCCTAAGAGACACACAACTTCTTAATATCAATATGTCACGAAGTGAGTCATGATGGTGTGATGGAAACTCCAAATTCGGACACTCACGAATGTCCACCTTTTCGATGCAGGTGTTGGCAATAATGTGCTCAATCTTTTCAACCAAAGTCACATTGCTGAATGGGCCATGGAAGGAGACTTCTTTTAGATTGGAAGGGATATCTTCCAACTTCACATTCCCACATTTTCTAAGAGTCAAACTTCGAATCATTGGAGCCATGGGAACCAAAGCTACAAGTTCTTGGCAATCTTCAATAATGAGTTCCTCTAAAGAAGGAAGTTGTTCGGGCAACTTCTCTTTCAGCTTTGGACAATTCCTTATACGAAGCTCTTTAAGGCATGGGAAGGCTCTAGAAGCTGTTCCGCATTCCCATTCCTCCCAATTCACCATTTCATCAAACTCCAAGATTTCAAGAGACCCAAATGAAACAGCAGAAGATCTACTTCCAAGAAATTCAGCACCAATAGCTGCAATACAATCCAACCCTCTAATGAACAGTGACTTGAGGGACGGCAAAAGGCCCAATGATGGCAGAACAAGGCAATAGCTGCAACTTTCCAATCGGAGTGAAACAATGTTGGGCAATGCATTAGAAAACCAGTCTGGAAATCTTGTACCGCCATAGTGCATGACTGACAGTTTCTTCAAGTTCTCGTGAGGTTGGAGCTTCTCCAGCACGTACCTTTCATTCCGGGAATTATTATGGCAGTCCGGACTCCAGTGGAAGCTTACCTCATCAAGGCACTTCTTTTCTTTCAAGTTGACAGTAGAAGCATCCATCCCAGGAACTACATTCTGTAGCTCAAAAATGGACAATTCTCCTTGAAGATTGAGTTTGCCCAACTGCTCCATGTTGGACTCACTGTATCTTCCCACATCGAATGATGTCAGACGAACTCGAAGATCTTTCAACTCTCCCAAATTTAGAGGAATCGTTTTCAGCCATGTGTATTGTAAATCCAGAAGCCGCAGACGTTTTAGTTTATTCAAATTGGCAGGCAGCTCATCCAAATGATCACAATTTTTCAACCTCAATGTTTGTAGATTATAGAGAAGGCATATAGAGTCGGGGAGTCTCCTTATCCCGCTGCCAGATAGATCAAGATACCGTAGATGTATGAGATTTCCTATGGAATCAGGAAGCTCTGTAATTTTGAAGTTGTAACATAGAGACAGAGCTCGCAAGCATTTGCACTTAAACAATTCATCAACCACTGAAGTCCAACCAAAATCTGGATTAAGGAAAAAAGGCAAGAATGACCGCAACTTGCTCGATTTTTGCAAATACTCAGGCTGTCCGAATCCTCCATTTTCATGCGAAAAGGATAAGTGACGTGTCTTGTCTGAAACATTTGGCACCTCTTTAACCTCTTGCCTTAAGCAAAATTCTCCGGAAACAAAATTTGCCAAGTCATTGAGAAGGTCATGCATTACATAATGTGTTCCACCTAGAGCAGATTTCTGAAAGAAAGACCTCGACACAAGATCCTGGAAGCATTCGTTGCCTACTTCTTCAATGGTCTTGTTTGATTTAGAGGCTGGTAAGAAATCTTGAGCCATCCAAAATAAAACTAGCTCCTCCTTTTCGAATTGATAATCCTTGGGAAGTAATGAGCAATAGGCAAAGCAGTGCTTAAGATGGGATGGGAGATAGTGATAGCTCAGCCTCAAAGCAGGAAGAATATTGTTGTGGGAAACTTCCCATATATCACAGGTCAAAATGCTATTCCATTCCTCCCAAGATAATTTCCTCCCCAAAAGACTTCCAACAGTTTTCAAAGCCAGAGGTAAACCTTTGCACTTCTTAGCGATCCTCCTACCAATTTCTTCAAGATCAGGACTCGCTTGAGGAGAGTTGTGAAATGCATATTTTGCAAATAACAACCAACCATCTTCATCTGATAATTGATGCGGTTGGTAAATTTCATCCGAGCCGGCGACTAGAGCAACATTCTGATTGCGTGAAGTGATAAGGATCCTGCCGCCTGCAACCGCAGAAATCAAAGGTGCCCGGAAAGCTTCCCATGCTACATAATCATCACACCAAACATCATCAAGAACGATGAGGAATTTTTTCTTGGTCAAAATATCTTTCAACCTACTTTGCAGCATGTTTATATCTGCTTTACCATCATAAGATCCCATCACTGCCTTGAAAATTACTCTGGTCAATCTCAAAATGTCGAAGTCGTCAGAAATGGATACCCAAACTTTAATGTCGAATTCAGCCTCGACCCTTTCATCATTATAGACAAGCTGAGCAAGGGTGGTCTTACCCAAACCACCCATTCCCACCAGAGATATGACAGAAAAGCCACTGTCGTTTAGCAATTGCTCAATTATGATTTCTTTTTCATCATCCCTGCCATATGTTCCAGCTTGATCGACCAGAGAAGTGGTTGGCAACTTCGTGGAAGTTTCAAAAGCACCACATTTAACTTCTTTCAGTCCCAGAGCAGTCTTTCGGCTCTCAAGAAATTCAAGATTTTCCAGCAGTTGTTTCATCCTTGAATCAAATTCCTTGTCAAATGAACTAAAATGGAAGAAGCGCCGTACCTTGCCAGTAAGACCAGCTTGAGTTTCAGGTTCCATCTCCTGCTTGTAGGCTTCATAGTTAATCTCATCCAAAAGATCGTCAGCATCGAACACAGCATGCTTGAGCTCAGTAAGCCACGCCACCACATTAGCATCACTGAACTGCTTATCTTCAGCATCATCGATTACAGAGTTAATGGATAGGAGCGCGATTTTCAACTTCTTCATCAGAGACGTATCCAATGTTCTTCCCCGGAAGTACTCACGGACCTCAAGAGACATCATCTTGTCGAAAGCCACCTGAAGGAAGGAGGACAGAAAAGCTCCGCCAACAATTCCTGGAACCATGGTGGGAAAAGAAATCAAGAAGAGCGAATGCCAATGGAGGTGAAAACAGTAAGCTATTTGTCTAGCCGGAGGCGCGCAAACGGATTCTGGGCACAGTGACCACTGGAGTGGGAAACGACCAGACACTCAACGGGCAAATGATCGAATTTTTTAATTAGGTAAATACAAATTTCACACAAAATGTGAATTTTAATTAGGTTAATAAAATTTTATCAAAAAAATTGGGCATCTAAAAAGGATAGTGAAAATATCATTATATTATTTTAAAATTAAATATCATTCATGGAAAATTGAGGTTGCAAATAAAATTCGCTTTTTAATTTTGTTGTGTTGGCACAGTGTATGAAAAAAAATGAAATATATTTTTTCTTCAATTTTTTAGTTTCCATTATTGGAATTGCTCATTGAAATCCTCCCCCAAAAAATAGCCAGATCAAAAAGAATGAAAAGATCATTTTATTTTCAAGAATGACTTAACTCAGGATAATAACATAGGAATACTTTTCTAAAGATACTTAATAACATTTTTGACACCTGGAAAATCACCATTTGTTTCATGGAAAAGATATTAATTTTCAAAATATATTTTAGGCTTTAAATTTGACCTCTTATAAAGTATTTTTTATTTTAGTTATAAACTACATAAGATTTCAGAAATTTAAATTTAATTATTTTTTTATAATTTAAGACTTTGATAATAATTTTATAAAAATATTAAATATAATCCGTCTAAATCTTAATCTCATACCAAGTATGGATATCAAAATTCTTGAGAAATCGATAAGCCATGAAAACCAAGAGAGAAATTAATACATGAAATGATGAAACTCGTTTTAGAACGCAGAAGCCAATTAACAATCACAGTCACTATCTACATAGCTAAAGAGAGAGGAGGAAAGAGCACTGAATTGGACAAGATGAGAAGAAAGAACAGTGAAGGCAAAGAAGAAAACTACAACAAAGAAATAAAATAAGCAATTGATAAAGTGATGATCATACCTGAAATTTCGTTATGTTAATATTTCTCTTTCACAAACCCTTTCTTTCTTTTCTTCAACCTCTTCTTTCTTGACCTCTATTTATAGAGTTAAGAACTTGAGTTTCTGTGAGATAAAATATTTAAAAGATGTGATTAGTGAACTCTTCAAGGGAAATTTAATTTTGTTTCGGTTATAACTAAATTCAGTCTCAATTCTTATAATTTTAAGTATTTAAAATAGTAGTCCTATATTGTAAAAAATAAAATTATAAATATTAAAATTATGTTAAAATTTATTACTGATATTTTAAATTACTAAATCCTTTTAATCTTCATAAAGATTATAAAGATTACTAAACCCTGTTAAAATGTATGCTACTTTATCTTCTTTAACAAAACATATAAAGATATTTCTCTTGTTTTGGAAATTTATTTAACTTGCTTTAACAAAAATACCTCGTTATCCTTTTTGTCTCTTTGAAAGATACTTATTTAATTTTAAAAAACTATTTTAAAAGATAGCACTTAAAACAGACTCTGATTATTGAATCTTAAGGAGGAAGCGAATTTTATAAATGAATTTCTATAAATTAATATTTCTCCCGGCTTAGTTTTACTCATGGCAATATGGAAAAATAAAAAATCACTGGAAAGAATAAAAATATTTCATTTGTTCAATTCTCAGCCTAAAAATTTGGAAAATTTCAATGAATGAATGCCGTTAGACCACACAAATTTAACAAAAACAAATTAAATATTATTCATGGAAAATTGAGATTGCAAATAAAATTCACTTTTTAATTTTATTTTGTTAAAATATAACTTCTCGTTACATTTCTTCCCCGAATATAGGAGGCACCAAGTGTAAAAAAATGAAACATATTTTCTCTTAAATTTTTATTTTTCATGATTGTGGTTGCCCCTTGAAATCCTCCCCGAGCAGGATCAAAAAGAATAATTTATTTTCATAATAAAATGGGACCTAGGCCTACGTGAATCATATAATTTGAGCTAAGATGTTTATTTTTCTGAAAAACATTCAATTTCTATTTGTGGCACCTGCGAAGGCTTCCCTGAAAAGGCATTAATTTTCAAAAGATATCAAGAGAATTTCCTCCTCATCTTTGGAAGATTTAAATTTGATCTCTTGGAAAATATTTTTTTATTCAAACTATAAACTAGATTAGATGTCAGCAATTTAAGTTTAACTATTTATTTTTCTTTATAATTTAATATTTTAATAATAATTTTATGAAAAAAAATTAAATATAAACCATTCAAATCTTGATCTTATAGTTAAAATAGGAAAAGGGGAGTGGGACTATGGAAATTAAAATCCTTGTGAAATCGATAACAAGGCTTTTTCTTTTACACATGTGTGTGTGTGTGTAAATTTAGATTGCCATGAAAATGAGAAAAAGCCAATGTCTAAGGCAAAGGGAGGAAAAAAAAAATCAACACATAAAACTCACATTTAAAAGGCAGAAGTCAGTTAACAATCATCGCTAATATAATTATAGAGAGAAAAGAGGAAAGAGCACTGAATTGGACTATAAGAGAAGAAGAAGTGGGAGGGAAATAATAAATCTACAGCAAATAAATAAAATAAGAAATTGCTAAAGTGAAAACCATACCTGTCTCTTACGTAATTTTGTTATGTTAATATTTCTCTCTCATAAACATTTTTTTCTTTTTTCAACTTGTTTTTTCTTGATTGAGTTTATAGTTAGAGTTCCTATGAGATAAAATATTTAATAGATGTGATTAATCAAGTCTTGGAAGATATAATATATATCTTAAGATAAACCTTGTATATTGGCATGTCATTATTTTCTTTAATTTATTGGGAGATATTGTGAGATATAACTCATTCATTTATATAACTCCTCACAATCACCATTGAATTTTATTTAAGAAATTTGTAGATACCAATTTTTTAAAAGGAAAAAACTCATGTTATTTCAATTTTAATTTCCATGATTTTCACATTTTTGGCCTATTTCCAATTGCCGTGCTCAAATTGCTCGTGAACGAATAACAACGACGCATGAACGGACCAAGTTTATTTTAAAATATTACAAGTCACCCATGATAGAAAGCCTCCCTAATATGAAATTAGTAAAACATTATATATTATTTCAAAAAAAAATTATATTTAGTGTTTTAATTTGCAAAAGATTATTTAATTTCACTCAAATAATTGTCTTATTTTACAATGAAAAATGCAAACTGTATTATCTTCTTTGACGAAACAAATAAAGATACTTCTCTTATTTGGGAAATTTATCTAACTTGTTTTAAAATAATAATTCGTAAAAGAATCAATGTTACTGGTGACAGCAAAAAAAAAAAAAGAATGATCAAATAAATTATGTGTCAGGCCAAAAAAACATTTATGTGCATCTCGATTGTAAAAGATAATTGGATTTGTAATACTCACTCTATAATTATCCTTTTTTCTTTTTTCCTTTTCGAAAGATACTTATTTAACCAAAAAAACTATTTTAAAAGATAGCATTCAAAACAAGTTCTGATTATCCAATCTTCAGGAAGTGAATTTTCAAAAGACGGTGAATTTTATCGAAATAATTTTTTTGAGGAAAAATGATTTTCTATAAAATAAATAAATATAGAATAGCCCTTTCCCACGTCAGTTCTTGCTATTATGCCCGGCTTAGTATTACTCGTGGCGAGAAGGAAAAATCACAAGAAAAAATGAAAATTTCATTTGTTCACTTCTCAACTTAAAATTTTGGAAAACTTTAATAAATGAATGCCATTAGAACACGCAAATCTAACAAAAACAAATTGATTAACATGCTACAAGAGATCCAGAGTTAAAAGCCTCTCACGAGAAATACAAATGGTAGAAAAAAAAACAACACTAAACATACAGTCAATGCATAATAGTTATTCTGCTTGGGTATGAAAGTGTACTAACTCGACGATACAAACTAGAAGAAGCGTGGAAAAAGAAAACTCAACTAAAATCAAGCTCTGGGATGAAAACAGCAAACAGCCCAGCACCCAAAAACCGTTGAATTGAACTCCACCTCCAAGTTCTCAAAATCATGAAAACTTTACACACCAAATGGAATCAAACATGAATATTTAAAGGCATCAATATTTATGCCAAACAGAACTTATATGGAGATATCATATCCGTGCTTTAGATGCAGAAAAGCATAAACACTTGGTCTATTTAAATGAAAAGGCCTGGCATCAATATTTGCAACACTAGACTCAATATTTAAATTGAAATAATCATGAGCAAATGGAACATCTCAAGTGCTTGAAGAAGGACCAATAAGTGCACAGACCAAGTCCTATTTTTGGAAAGGTCAGCCAAAAACAAAACTTTAAATGAGATAGGACATGATTTACTTTAGAGGCTAGAAATAGGATCAATGGAATGATGAGACTAAAACAAGCTTCTTGAAACAAATCAAGGCTGAAAGGTCTTTGAGCTCACAAGAACATTTATGAAGTTAATGCTGTCAGACATAGTGAATCCATTGGTTTTTAACACATGATTTGGGTTAAGTAGAGACAATAAACATCTTACACGCATTCTTCGGAAGAATTCCAGATCACCAAGCCTTTGTAATTAAGAATCCCATACCCAACAGAGACCATTAGCAACAGCGTTAGTTGATAAAATCGTACCTAAAAAGGGACTGCGCGTGAGAGGCGAAGATGCAGGAAGATGTTGCTTGAACTCCAGTTGTCCCGTTCATTGTTCGGCCATAGCTCCTTGCCCCTTCCTTCCACCATTTCTGGCTCTTCCCTTCACCTTCTTTTCCTCCTCCCCACTTTCTTTCTGTCACTATCTTCTCCTCATCAGCCGAGATTGGAGAAGCTCATCCTCGACTGCCTCACTGCACCACTGTTGCGTCTTACAATCAACTTGCTCCGGCACCCTTCGCCCTCTAGAACACGCCTTACATAGAAATTAATATGGAGAGGTTTCACTTTTGCAGGATAGATAATAGTCATTTTCTTCTCTCTGTTCTTGCTTGCTTCAAGCATGCTTTGATGCTCTCTCATATTTCCTTAACGGCTTAACCGTGCTCCTCCTCCTGATTCCCACTTTTCTTTTAGGGAAAACAAAAATTTAAAAAAA